TTCGCCGAGCGCATCCACAAGCTCGTCCAGCTCGGCCTCAACATTGAGGAGGACGACTCTGCCCCCATCGAGGGTGCTGCCGCTCCCGCCGACACCCCTGCCGTCGAGACTGGCGACAGCGCCATGGAGGAGGTTGACTAAATTGCCTCTTTGTGTGCACCAAGAATCGGGATAAACGGACAAAAAGTTTGATTTTTACACGATGGAGTTGAACGGTTTTAGAGCAACATGGTCTGGTCTGGACGTGGATTTTCTTTTTTATGCTTTGTTTACTATCTTAGGTGGTCCCAGGTTTAACGGACCGATGCTTTTACCCCATAGTGCCCTTGATATCCCCTCATAAGAGGCGAGGGAGGGCGTAATTTAGCCCAGTCTATGAGAAATGAATAAATGGAATGGACAATGACTTTTTCCTGACGACGTGATGTAATGTGATGTGATGACCCTAGTGATGACTGCATTTTGTCTATGAGTGATAGATGACGCAAATGTCTTATATAACAGTGATTCAGTCCTCCGTACTGTACAGCTTGATCCATTGATTTACACACTATGCGCAAACATGTTGGTTAACTATCAAGTGATCAATTAAAGCAAAACAAGAAGCATGTGATATTTATACTACGTAGGGTAGTATTCAGCAAAACATCGTGAGATGTATGTATTTACGCCTGTAGAGAGTAACGAAAAAAGAAAACACGCCGCCAATGATACATGTATATCCAAACACGCAATGAACAAAAGAAATACAGAAGAAGAAGAAGTAGCCTCTCCCCGTTTATGGACACAAAGGAAAAGGAAAGGAAAAATCGCAGAACCAGTCTGGAAATAATGTACGATACGATATGCCTTATGTAACTGCTGCAAAAAGAGGTATGAAAAAGTAAAATGCTAATGAGTGTGTTGAGTATGGGTTTGAGGTAGGTAGGTGTGTTGATGTGTGTTGAGTTGGGTGTTGTGTTGTTTAGAGGAGGACGTAGAGTGCGCAGATCTAATTATCACTTTGTGTTAGCTTCTGTAATATTCAAGTGATATAGGAGGTTGAAATGTTTTTTGTTTTTTGCGACTTACCAGGCTGAGACCTAGGATCATGGAGCACCAGAAGCAGACATTGTTGAGCGTCTTGCGGCCCCTGACCCAGCGCGTCCGCTGCAGCATAACAATAGGCAGCTGCAGCATCTGACACACAAAGCCATATCCGCGAATCTTCTTTGTAATACAAGCCATGACAATCTCATGCCCAACGGCAGAGATGAGGAAAGTAATAAAGGTGGCAAAGGCCTTGCCGGTATGCGGGCGCGAGGCGCTGTAGACGTGGCGGCGCAAGAAGGAGTAGACAGGGACATTCCACTCGCGCGAAAACTCCATCCAGTCGGTCGAGTTCCACCAGTCGGCGTAAAAGTGGCGGTCGGCGAAGCAGGTGATTTCGGCAAAGGCGCCGAGGACGTACTCGAAGATGACGAGGAAGACGAGGAGGAAGGTGAGCATGAAGGGGAAGAGCAGCCAGGAGATTGTCTCGGCGAGGATGAGGCCGGACTCGAGGGCTACTGAGGACGAGGAATCGACGAGGTGGGCGGAGGCGACGAGGTCGAGACGGCGGGAGGCGTCGACGAGGACGGGGAAGATGTACTCCTCGGAGATGACGGTGAGGAGGAAGATGCAGCCAAAGGTGGCGATGATCTTGGAGACGAGGGCGGTCCAGTTGATGGCCGGGGTGCGCGGGTACTCGATCTCGTAGCAGAGCGTCGGGCAGCAGAGGTAGTCGAGGTAGTTGGCCCAGGTGACGTTGCGCGGGTACGTGACGTTGCCCATGGGGCTGGTAAGCTCGCGGGCGAGGTCTTCACGTAGGGTGTCGATTTCGTCGGCGCTGGTGGGCTCGGGCTCTGTTTCGGTTTCAGGGGCAGTAGAGGGAGCAGCAGCAACAGCAGCGTGGCCGTTGGTGCCGTTGACGCCCTTGTTGTCGAGGCTTCCCTGCTGGCGATGATGCTGCTTCTTCTTAGGCTTAGAGGTGTCCTTGTCCTCCTCCACGGGGCGAGGCATGGGGATTCCTGATACGCTGCCCTTGCGGTGGTCGGCGCTGGGGTAGAGGTAGGCCGGCCTGCGGTCTGCTCTCGACGGGTTCGGCTCGTCCAGGCTGCGCAGTCGCTTCTCCGTTTCTGACAGATGGCCATTGTAAAAGGCGTACGAGTGCATCTTCATGAGCAGCACCATTGTGTGCAGCAGCAGACAGACTTGAGCGGTCCACGCCCAGTCCAGCCAGAACGGCACAATGACCCAAAACGCCAGCCACACGACCTGGTAGATGCTCTGGATCGCCATTCCTCCCCTACTCCAGCCCCAGACGCCTCCCATGGGGTTCCTACGCACCCAGCGATGCAGCGGCAAGCTGACGGCGGTGGTGGCGACCATGAGGAAGTCGGCAATGGCCAGGTGCCACAGCTTGTCGGCGAAGAGGCCCCAGATCTGGACGCGCAGGGGGTATCCGGTGTCCTTCCAGTTGCGCAGCATGGTAGTGATGCCCATGATGGCCAGGCCGATCCAGAAGAGGTTGAAGAAGCCATGGAAGTCGCGGTAGTCGCTGGAGGGGTCGAAGTGGGAGACGCGCGAGGAGAATTCGATGGTAGGGAAGATGCGATGGCGCTGCTCGGCGCGGACGAGCTTGCGGGCGGAGGAGAGGGATTTGGTCGAGGGGGGAGCGTTGTCTGAGACGGGTGTTGAGCGGCCGCTGTTTTAATTGTGTCAGTTGGTGTATTCTTTGGGAGGGAGATGATGATGAAGACGAGGAAGAGGAAGAGGAAGAGGAGCAAGAGAGGCATCAACTCACCTCGTCGTGGCACTGCCTACGCTGCCATTGCTGTCGCCCGTGGGCAAACCTAGGAGGTGATTGTCGCCATCAGTCGAGGATGCGCGCGACACTTGAGCATGCAGCGGCTTGTGGATTCTCGCCCGCAGCACGTTGTCGGCGTAGCTGTCGAAGTGGCTGTGGCCATTGGCCAGGACGTCTATTGATGTCATGATGCGCCAACCAGGAGCCGTGATGTCCTCATCCGGCGGTTTCTATCCAGTCGCTGTTGTTTCTCGACAAAGGGTTCGGTAGATGCAAGCAGTTAAAGAAGAAAGAAAGAAAGCCTCGTATTATAATTTCCTTCTTTTTTGTCGCAAATTCGCAAATCCTTCAGGAGGCGCGGCAGCACCGAAATCGTTTGCGTTTGGTGGATATGGAGACAAGGCAGAGTCGCAAGTCGCAGGTTAAGACAGATATAGGAGGTAGTACCAGCTTTCCGGGCCTGGAGATTATATCGCTTGCATCAATGCGGACCGGGGTTGGATTCGAGAAGATGGAGCTTTTCGTTTCAGCGCAGTAATAAAAATAAGAATAGTAATAACAAGCAAGCAAAGAGATGCGCGACTGTACAACTGCAGAGCTCGCTAAAATATTAGATACGATGGGCGGTGATTGTTGGATGAGAAATTAGATGAAGCATAAATAGAACCACTGAGGACACAAGAACAGGGCAAAGAGGCAAAAAACGAGGTACCGCATACAGTACGTCACTGGGCCCCTCGCTGCCCCCACTTTCTGACGCCGACGAAATGGAGGTTTGCTTTGAAAGAGGAAATAAAGAGGGTGCATTGCATTGGATGATATAAGGTTAGTGGTTAGGGAGCTGGCTGGCACTAGAACAGTCTACTGTCAAGCCTGTCATGGGAATAAGCATCAATCAATCAATGTCGCATTGTCTTTGAAATAAAACGGTCAACTAGCACTATAATACAGTGGCTTCTCTTCTATTCAAACAACCATCAAATACAACACAATACAACATATCAATCAATCAATACTACATTAGTACTTACACACACACCCCGGACAACGGACTCAATCCTCCCCCCGTATCTAATAAAATAATCACGGACAATCAATCCATCATCCAAGTACCGCAACATATCCTCCGTTAGCCCTTCTCCAATCCCATTCCCCCCCCTATCCGCGTACCGGTACCCGGCACTCCGTTTCCTCCGTCCCATCGCCACCCGACTCTTCCGACCTCCCGAGGCTTTCTTCCTTTCTTCCCCATACTCCGTACACCAACTTTATTTTCTTTCTCTTACCCATACACACCACTTTATTTTTCTTCGAGCTCGGCAACACGCAGCCCATCGCACCATTGTTGTGAAATCACGCTTACTTACTCTGACTAAAATAATAACCATGGTGTGCATCCCATCCCTCTTGGATGATAGACTATGTATGCGAATCGGCGATAATCATGTAATGTAATACAGCTGCCTAGGCCGTGCGTGCTCTTTCGGACTCCTTCAGGGTCCGTGTCGTCTTACGCGCATCATGTACGACATGCATGGGTGCTTATTCCACCAAATTCTACTCGATTCACACACAGCACATTATTGCAATCATCAAACAAACCCGATATAGTAATCAGAACAAAGATATATATACGTATTATAAGAAAGACTCTCATGTAAATAACGTAACGTCCATGCAATGCACGCTCATCTATAACATAACTAAAACTCCCATCACCCCAATGCCATAACGCTGAAAAGAAAAGAAACAGAAGAAGAAAAAGGCACTACTCCAAGTCATAACCATGTAAATGCTCCCGTCCAATGCCTTCATACACGCATATCCATGAAATATCGCCCTCGCAAAAGCGCTCCCTCTTGTCTCCCATATGTATCCTTGATGCAAATGCAAACACGCCCTGCACAAATCACATGAAAAAGATAAAAAATACTCCCTTCAATGGAAGAAAACCGGGCTGTCCGGCATCCTCCTCCGGTCAGACAAGGTCCGTAAAACAGCCCACTTTCGCCGAACCTCCCGATCGATCAAAAACAGCAAAAGCCTCGGCTCACCGAGCTTCCCCGGCCCAAAAACTTCCGCTGAGTCAAAAGGGGAAAAACTCTAAGTCACCCCATTCGGATTTTCTTTCACTGCATGGTAGTCCGCGGAATCTGCTTCCGCTTCTCCGTCATCACGGATCCCTGACGTACCGACTATGCACCGTAAACGTCCATGGCATGTGCAGCCACCACTCGCCCCGCAGATACTGCAGATACGTGCGGTACCACTGCGCGTCTTGGCTACCAATGAAGAGCAGATAGCTGTGTCTCTCCAGTTTCTCCACGAACTTCTCTAGCCCATCCTGAACCTGCGAGCGTCTCTCCTCGCTCCGCTGGTTTTCCACGTCGTCGGCCTGCCATCCGGGGTCCACCACGGGGTCCACCTCCCGCACAATGTGCAGCGTCTGCCGGAGCGCCCGAACGGGCCGCGGGAACAGCAGTTGCAGGTAGCCTCCGGACGATGCTCGCGAGCGCTTCTCGCGGTACGGCACCGAGCCCGTCAGCGTCTTGCGCTTGGCAAAGTCCTTGGCCTTGTAGTAGTACACGTCGTCCACCAAGTTTGTGTTGAGCCACATGGTCACCATCTTCTCAATCGTCGCGTTCAGGTCCGATCCGGTCCTCCGCAGGTCGCTGGCGTACACCACCCGGGACGTCATGAGCTTGTACTCCAGCTCCAGCAGGTGGAGCTGTAGCCGCATGATGGGCTCGTCTCCAATCAGGAAGCTGTCGCTGAGCCGAGGCGTCGACGGCCTCCACTTGCCGCTCATGAAGCTCTTCATCGAAGTATTCGACGTGGACGACTCGGCTGAGTGCGCCGACGGCGTCGGGCTCGGCTCCCTGTGAATCGTAGCTGGTCTCCTAATATCCCTGGTGTAGTTGACGCACAGAAAAAAGTCCTGGTACGGCTGCCCCGTCCGTTTCGTAGGATTCCGCTGAATGGCGTCCCGGCCTCGCTGCGCCGCCACGTGAAAGTCGGTGCCTTTAATCAGTAGCTCGTTGTAAAAGGCTTCGAGGTACGTCGCCACGGTCTGCCAGTGCACGTAGAACCACATGGCAGACACGTTGTGGACGCCACGCTCGAGAAAGATGTGGGCCAGGTTTGTTGACGGGCCCGATCGGTTGTACGCCGAGAGGCACGCATTCAGAACCACGTTCTCGACATGATAGTCGGCCAGCACCTTGGCGACATCTGATGCCTTGGCGAGATGAGTCTGTGGAACTTGGTTTACGTGCGAGCTGAGGCCTAGAGGCTTCTTGGCAAACAGAAGCCAAGGCATTTGCCGGCCGTACCTACGTGCCACTGGTTAAGTCATTGAAACCCTTTGGGAACGTCAAGACGGCATAACTTACTCATCATCCATGATCCTTCCGTGAAGGTCAAAGTGGACCAAGTTAAACTGCACTCCATGGCTAGCCCTCACCTTCAGATGCTCATCCAGCTCCTCTATACTGCCCGGCCGCACCACCTCCAGCAGCAACCGGCTCCTCAGCTTCTTCTGCACATTCATCAACGGCCACTGAGCCAAATCAGGCTCCGGGTCACGGTCAGCCCCGGACCGGCTGAAGTCGCGGGCAATCACCAGCAGCACGTAAAACGAACCGTTGGGGTTGACTTGTACACTCGACAACGACCGTGGCGGTCCCAGTGGTCGAGCTAGCTGGCTGGCAAAGTCACTCACCCGTGTCACTCTCAATCGCAGGTTCCGCATCAGCGGGCTCCTGACAGATTCGAGAAGCTCCCAGGCAAGGCAGTGGATGCCTCCGGCCTTGTTAATGGACTTTTCATCTTCGTGGGAGTCATAATGTTCAACAACGACGAGCTGGACCTCGGTACTACCCGTACGAAGCACTCTCGGCCGCAAGAGGCCCAGTTGGGCGAGCAGAATCTCCCCATATGCATGTATGCGATGCTCTGCCAGCGATACGCCATCCGTGCCGCTGTCCTCGAGCTCCAGGCTCTGCAGGCTCCAATGCTGACGGTCCGAGTTACGGAGATAGTCCTCAAAGATGTCTTTGTACTCCGCCTCGAGGAACGGATCTGTGATGGTGATGGTACTCTCTGGTTGTTTGTTGACCTGAATGGTGACATCCCATGACCGCCTGCCATCGGGCCCTGCTACCTCGTGGGGGCGACTCGATTGCCGCACGTATACGACGTCCATGTCCCGATCCCAGGTCGTCTCAGCCAAGGGGAACAATCCCGCGACCGCATATTCTGCTGGATCCGTCTCCTGCTGCCTGTTGTTTCCAGCAATCGTGGGTATATCCGCTGTCGTGTATGCTATCGTCGATTTTGCCGCTTATACCGTTGGCTACTTGCTGCTCCAGCTATTATTTCGACTGCCTGCTGTCTAGAGCAACGTAGTCAAGACAATAAGCTCCAGCGTAGAGCTCGACCTCCTCTTCAATCCAAGCTCAGAGCTTCGAGTAACCCGCCTCCACTTGTCCTCTCCGCAGCAGCAAGAGTATGTGTAACGTTGTCCGTGTTATTATAGTGTTGTCCTCTTCGTTCCCAACCGGACCATGTCTCGTATTCTATCGCTTCAGCTCGAATCGTTTCCGCAAATCGTGGTCGGTAATTCTATATCCACGCCTCCACAGGTTGTTGGAAGAGTGCTTCGTTGGATCCGGTATCAATGCCCTACCCATACCGCAAAACAGCCCCCGTTAGCAAATCCCAGCAGAAATCCCAAAGTAAGAATCCTCGTAGCTGCAGGGCCAGAACTCACGATTGCGTGCTCCAAAGTCACCAAGATCAAATGCAATGCAATGCAATGCAAGAAGAAGAAGAAAAAAAAAACAAGACACGCGCCAGGTTGGGCCAGGGAGAGAAATCGCTGGAGAAACAGCGTCTCAGCAAGTGCCGTGTGCCTGGCAGGGGTGATAAATGCGCTGTAACCAACTTGCATGCACTAACCCCAGTCCCAAACATCCAATCCGCTAACAGATTCCCCCCAAATTCTCCATTCTGCATTTCTAGTCAATTCTCCAGCTCGGATGTGTCTTTGCTCAGCCTCTCTCCAGCCATCCAATACTACATCATTCCATCGGTGAAGGAAAAAAAGGACGGCAGAGCATTTGGATGGCAAAATACTGCCTAGCAGCCACGACAACGATCCGCGCTCCAGGCATCCCTCACTACTATACCGTCCATGTGATCAAACAACACATTACTACAGCAGTAGAATGCCCTATCAAATGCAGCAGCCTCACTTTCTTCCCTTTGCTCATGACTTCCTACAAGCATCAATTCAGCCGCAGATATGCCTCGATTTACAAAAGGGAGGACGCGTAGGGCAGCCCTGAAAATCCCATCAAGATAAAACATCCAATACCCGTGTCTCGTCTCACTTTTAGAGGATTTCCCATTGTCTGAGTGCCACGTGGATGACCTTCTCCAAAATTGGGAAGCTTAGAGTTTGATAGCGGGCTAAGTTGAGAGCGTAGATAAAGTGTAAACCGCAACCACATGAACACCGTAGCAGATTTAGTAGATTTACAGCTTCAGTAGACCATGAGTAAGCTACTTAGTATGGAAGACGTAATAAAACAAAGTTTTCAATCCGTCACCAACGAAACCAACGCTTGATGGGATTCACACCTTTACTACGATAGAATGATGGGCCATCCCACCGCATCGTGATGCTTCAATCCCGCAGTATAAAAGTTCAAATTGGATATAATGTATCGGTACCTCGTCTATCAGTCCCGCCCGCTAACAACAAAAAACAGCAAAAAACAGCAAAAACAAAAACAACGCAAAAAATCAATCTATACTCAACCAAATCTACAAAAAATTCACATCATCTCAAGACATCCTTGCACACATCACCATAGGTAGGTAGAGGAAGAGGAAAAGACCAGGCACACAGCTGCTTTTCTCCAAAGTTTGAGGGGATTCAAGTTTCTTCTCAAAGATACCTAAAAACGCGAAGAAAAAAAACAAAGAAAAAAAAAAGCCCTCCCCCTTTCCGCTCCGGCGCCAAGAACACCCTTCTCTTGTTCGAATGGTAGTAATAAAAAAACAAATTTCAAGATAGGGTCAAGTTGAAGAAAGCCACCTCTTCTCGCAAACAGTAAAAAAAGACACAAAAACGCAACGCAATACAGATAATAAAAAAAAGGAGAGGAATTAACAAAGATTGACGGGTCGAACGATAGGAACGGAAACCAGAATCTGTAGGATTCCACAAGTACACAAGGTGGCAGCCCGCCCGAGTAAGGCTCCTCGCTTGCGTATAAAGATAGATGACGTGTCTTTCTTCCACCTCTTTGCCACGTATGTTCCAGCTTTCGTCTAGGTTCCAACTCGGGGCTCGACCGGGGATTGGTTGTTCGCAAGGACAAATAAAAAGACAAGGAAAGGAAAAAATAGATCAAGTCGCTAGGTAATCAGTTGGTCGACAAGTTGTTGCTGCTGTTTAACAAGAAAAAGAATAAATGTTGCCGGCTAAGTCAAACAGCTTTTTGGGGGTAGTTTCGTAACGTCGTAAAGGGGGAAGAGAAAGCGGGTTGTGAGAAAGAATAAAAAAGAGTGTTCTCTCGATATGTACGGATTAGTTGGTTTGTGCTCTCTGATAGTTGTCTAGTTTATAATAACATGTAGTAAGTTGCTAAAAAAAGCAGAAGAATGCCTGCATCGTTGTATGTGGTTTTGCGAATGTCCTGGTTTTACATGATGACGCAGCAGCCACAGCCTCCTTTCTGGTCCTGGTCGTCTGGAACATCGGGGATCCTCTGGGTGCTCTGGGCCTTTTCGCTGAGCTGGCTCTGGGACTGCGCCGTTCCTTGTGTTCCTTGTGGCGTCATGGGGGGCCGCTGGCCAGGCAGAGGGCTCTTTGGCGGCTGAATGTCTGAAATCTTGGGCATGGTGGAATAGGATGAGCCCAGTCGCGCCTGGGGCGGGCTCTTGGGAGCCTCTGCCTTGAGCGGCCACTCGTCCGTCTGGCCTGGCGCATCGTGGATCTGCATGTCTTCCTCGGCCGGGGGTTCCTGCTTGGCCGCCTCTTCCAGCGGCGCAGAGTTCTCTCGGAAAATCGGCAGCACGTTGTCGTTCAAGGGCCGGAAGTCCTTGTCGTAAGCATCGCCAAACTTGCCCTCCTGCTCCCACTTCTCTTGCATAAGTCTCTTGGCGACGGTGGGTATGATTTGCTGATCGGGGGGGAGGCGAGGGTCGGGTCTGTAGCTGTCCACCATCCACGGCGGGTTGCCCTCGGGCTGCTTCTTGAGAGTGGCCTCTCCAGAGCGGGTGCTGGGTCGTGCGTTGCTGTTCGTCGAATCCTTGCTAGGGCCTGATCGAGTCTTGGGTCGTCCGGCAGCCTTGTTCGGCTTCGAGTTGACAGGCTCCGAGTTCTTTCGGCTCGCAGCTGTCGGTTTCTTGGGCGAGGATTCCGTGGTGGATCGCTGCACCGGCTTGGGCTTCTCAGCCTTTTCAATCGGGGCACTAGGAGCCAACTCTCTGAGGGTGGCACTACCACTCCTAGAGCGTGTCTGTAGATGTCGTTAGTACATGTTTTAGTATCATAATGTTGCTGTGTGTCCGACTGACCTTGAAGACCGGTATCCTTGAACCAGCCTTGGCGTTTGCCGCAGCCGAGGCATTTCCCTCTTCGATCGCCTCGTCCGGAACCTTGAGATCCCAAGGCGACGTCGGGGTATCTGCAGACTCGGGTGTCTGGTCCTGCTTGGACCGGATGTGCTCCGAGGCGTCGGTGCCTCTCCGAGCACTCTTATCCCGCCGCTGCTTGCTGGGGGCCCGTGACCTGGGGATGAAGCCAGCTGCCTGCAGCTCCTCGCTTTCTATCTGCGCCAGCTTGTCGCGGTGAATCCATTTCGATTCCACCTCCTGGCCGACGGTGGAATCCGCGCGCCCACGCTGGAACTGGACGTCGTCCGTCTCCGGCTCACCGGTGGACCAATTTGACCGGATGTTGTCGAACTCGGGCGACTGCACGCCGCTCTCTGCGTGTGCGTCCCATCGAGGGGTGGACACCTCGTCGGCGGGCATCTTTCGTGAGTCGAAGTGGTTGGAGTTTCCGTTAGTTCGTGGTGCTGCGTCGTCGTCGTAGTATCCGGCGCCCGTCTCGCCATACGCCTCCTGAAAGGGTTGCAGGTTAGTCGGCAAGCATTCCAATAGAGTCAAGTCCCAGCAAACCATCAAGTCATGCGGCCATGCAGCGCCTCACAAGATCGGCATGTGGCGCTCCTACTCCTAGGACAAAAGTTGTTTGTCGTCAACTTACTTCATGATGGTCCCGGTACCTCCACGATGGTTCGTCGCCATGGCTGCTGCTCGGTGGCGTCAGTGCTGTGGGAGCGCCCCGAGCCGCTGAAATGGCAGCCATAGTGGTAGCCGAGCTGAAGAGTGTACCAGTAACGTTTCCCCCCTTTTTCTTAGTGATGGCAAAATCGGATGCGGGATCGAGTCAGTGAAGCGGAAGCGGTGCGGTAGATGTGAAAAGGACAAGAATAAAAAATGATGGATCGAATGACAAGTTGAGAATGGAAAAAAAAAAAATGGAAGTGTGGTTGGTAGTGGCGGTCAAAGTGGTCGATTGTCGCGTCGACTAAATTCACCAAGCCTCGTGGAGTCGGTTTGTCGCGATGCTCCCCTGAGACATGGGGTATTTTTCTTTTTTTCTTTTTTTCTCTTTTCTTTTTTTGGAATTTTCTTGCTTTGTCTAAAACGAGTGAAAGGGCTGGAAACGGAAACGGAAACGAACAAGGTCAAAGCTCAGGCGGACGGAAGCTCTCTTGACAACGCAATGGCAGTCAAGCTGGCTGGCCGCAGTCGCCGCAAATGGCCAGACAATGAGCTTCAACCGAAGAAGAAGATGACGAGAAGTCGGAGTCTGCAGCGTCGTCGCAGTGGTCGATAGTAGTACTCGTAGTAGTACACTCAAGTAATCTCGGAGAAGGGGGAAGAAGGCGGGCTAGAGGCACAAGTTGGCGATGCGGGTGGTGTGGTTGGCTGGTTGGGGGCAGCTAACGGCTAGCGAGGTGCGCTACGGGCGGTGCTGCTAACATTGAAAGGGGAAACGCAGTGCCGTGATGAATTGGAGTGAATTGTAAGAGCTCTTGAGCTTGCTTGCACGCACATCGAGTACCGGTACCTCGGTCTGCTCAGCAACACACATCCATTATCAAGTAACTCGTAACTCGTACTGGTCACCCACGCAAATTTGATCATGGATGCCTTCAATGCGTTCAAGGGTTTGATGTATTTTTCCTGCTGCAAAACCCGGCCAAGCCGCAGCTTTGGAGCGACTCACCCGCCGTTGGCTCCAGGCCTGTGGCCCACCCGCTCATTTGCCAGGAGGCGCCAGGTCGATTCGGGCTATTTGGCGACATGGGTTGATATCATCAGTGGAACTCAAAGGTGATTGCCGTCGACTGTCTTTTGATTACCATGATGCAGAAGCTTTCTCGTTGGTGGGGGGTTCTTCCAATGTTAATTTTTGCTCTTCCACCTCGTCGAAACCTTGTTTGTTTCCCCCTGCCTTGTCATGTGGTGAGGAGGGCATCAAGCTGAGAAGAGGATTCTTCACGGTGTCTGGTGTAAGTCGAACATCCAGTCAGCCATCATGGAATTGAATGGCTGGGCTGGACCCATTTGATGGCTTGGCTACAGGGCCCTGTCGCCTGTTTCCAGTGGGCAAGGACCCCTGCTGGGACTCTTGTTACTGGAGCACATCCGCGTTGGTTACTTGACGGGCGGTACTCGTTCTTGTAGCAGCAAGCTGGAGCCATTCTGCGACATTGCAACCTCCTCTCCTCCTCAAAGCCCCAATCACATCAACGACCCGCGATATCTACCATCACCATCATGCCATTCACCAACAGTAAAGACATCAATGGAAGAGTGAATTTATCGTACCGCTTTCCCCCGGCAACTGCTTAAGTGGCAGCATCAGCCCAGCGCTGCATGTACAAGTACGTACATACGTGTGGCGGCTACCGTATTGCCCCAGACGACCAGGTCAACCCCGGCCATGCCATGGTCACCTGCAACCAGGGAATACTCGAGCATACCTGCATGGTTGTGCTTACATGGGCGCACCTACGAGGTAACTGATACTACCAGCACGAGGCAGTAACTCGAGTGGCTGCGTATCGGTACATGCGTTTGCCGTGCTGTTACCGTACAAGGAATTCTTGTTGTGCTGCGAGTGTGTACCCTCCGGGACGCGGGCAAAAGAAAAGACAGCTCACATCAATATGAGGCGAGGAGAAAGGGGGGCACATCCGGTTATGGCATGGACATGTACCGTCAGATTCAGATCCATCTATGGATGTGTCCACGGTCTTCTGCCTCACTTTCATCACCCCTCTCATGAGAATGTTCACTCTAGCATTGTTTGATACAGCGCTATTCCAATGTACGATGCATTGCAAAGGGAAAATGTGATAAAAGGGGAGAGATCATGGCAAAAACGACGACCCGCAGCGGCTTGCGTCTTGCCGTCTTCACTGCCCTACTCGTTTAGCCTGACGAGATGAGAAAAGAGGCTGCAGACAACAAATTGTGCCAGCTCTAGCGAGCGGGAAACGAAAGAATACCTTCTGATGCGATGCATGTGCAAGACACACGTCTGTGCGACTGTCGATCTGTTGCGTGTGGTAAGCATCGAATGCTCGTGCTCGACTCTCCCATTGTTATGGTCTGCACTGCTTTTCTACAAATGTCCTCGCACGAGCATCTGCTGACGATGCACCTACAACAGATTCCATCTATATCAATGAGATGACCCCAGAATAAACGCAAGTGGTGTAATTGCATCTCTCTACCAGCATCAAATATGCGTGTGCCATGAGACACCTACAGGCGACAGGCCTACATGCATACGAGTACGTCGGTGTGCTCGGTTGAATCAATCATACGATGATTGTGACCATCGTCAACACTACCTAGCAGTTGGCAAAGCTTTTCCCAATCACCTCCAGCGTCATCCAATCCCTATTTGATGGCTGGTGTACCCTAAAACTATTCTTTCAGCCACCGGTGGGGAATATTGCTCAACTCACTTCACCGCAGGCACGCAGTGGACGGGGAAGACGGGTTGAAAATGCACACGCGAGCACACGGACGGTGAAGCTGAAAACCAGCGTGATGGCCGTGCAGGGTGGCTGGCTCACTTGATACAATATATCCAGGATCCCGATCCTCGCCGGGACATGTTGTCCTGTGCCGATGCGGAGTGCATGTACTCCAAAGGTCAATCCAGTCAATCCAAGCAGAGCTTTGACTGCTGGGCTCAAACATCACGGAGACTTCAAAAAGCAGCGTCTACATGTACGAGCACACCGCGCCTCCAGATGCTTCGTCGACATTCTGCGGGAGGACAGCATGGGCCATAATCTCGGGCGACATACACGAGAAATTGGTAGAGGTTACACACGTGGAAGATGACCTCATCGCCTGCACAGACAAAATCCCGAGCCTATTTTTGGACAGGGCTGGCTGGCATTGGGCGGGCTGAATTGGTGAAAATGACATCTGGAGCAAACATTCAAGGCCATGCCTGCATACCAATTAAACGTTACGAGAGAAATCGGTGTAGATGGAGCTACACAGGCCTGCCGGCTAGCCAATCAACAGCCACGGCTTATATGCTGTGGTACACCAAGTTGGAAGTTAGCTGGCCGAATCACAACGGCCTTGCAGTCAATGCTCTTCCTGCTGGGACGACACATAATTTCCCGGGGGGGCGGGAGGCATATAAAACTCATCTCATCACGTCTGTTGCAGCTGGAGAAATACTATTCTGCGGGGATACCAAAGCCTGCCTGTTTCTTGCAATTCTTCGGGTAAATCAAGAGTCATTGCTCCAACAGGCATCACCTTCGTCACCACGACATGGCGACTCCAAAGCTGCGCAAGACACGAATTGTCTGCATCTCCGACACCCACAATTGCAACATCAAACTTCCGGCCGGCGATGTTTTGATCCATGCCGGAGACCTTACCAACAAGGGAAGCATCTCAGAGGTAGGCTGTCTCTCGTTTCCATTTTTGGCGGGTGCTTGGTTGATTTTGCAACTCCAACGCCCTTGACGTCACGCTGCTGGGCAACGGCTCAACTGACCGTGTTTGAAATCGTGAAGCTCTCTAGGGCAGTGAAATGGCTCGAAGAGGCTGACTTTGAAGCCAAAATCATCGTGGGAGGTAAGTGTTGATCATTCTGAGTGAGCTTGACAAACTGTTCGATGCTGATGAGGAATTAGGCAACCACGATGTCACCTTGGATGAAGACTTTTACTTTCATCATGGCGACTCCTTTCACAACAAGATCAAGCAGAATCCGGCAGATTGTATCAACCTACTCACTTCGTCGCCATCCCTCACGTATCTCTGCCACGACTCGGCAACGATCCGTCTCAAATCACCCACGGGGCCGCACACGGAGTTTACCATCTTTGGCTCCCCCTACTCTCCTCGCAACGGACTATGGGCCTTCTACTATGAAGCCCCGAAAGACCATGGCGAGGGTACTGCTGACCTCACCTCCTTGTGGGAGCTCATCCCGCTCGAGACGGACATTGTAGTGACGCACACGCCGCCACGTACGCACTGCGATCAGCCAGAAGGGCAGCGATCTGCTGGTTGTGAGGCCCTGCGACAGGCTCTCTGGAGAGTCAGACCCAAGCTAGCAGTCTGCGGTCATATACACGACGGGCGAGGGGCGGAGCGAGTGCTCTGGGACCTCAAAAACAAAGCCACGCCCTACGCCGAGAGGGCCGCCATGGCATGGGAGGATCCCGGCAAAGGCAACAACAAGATCAGCTTGGTCGACCTCACCGGCAAGGCAGGCAAGATGCCGGCCCTCGCAAACGACGGCTCACATCCAGGCAGGCCCAGCTATAGCTATGAAGACGACCAACAAACGGCCACCACGACATCGGCGCCCGCGGGGACATGTTCGGATGAATCATCAGAGCAAGGCTCTAGCGTCGCTGCCCAAAAGAGAGGCGGTAACGACAGCAACGATGACGGCGTGGGCTATGGGGGCAATCCGGATGAGTCTGAGGATTGCGATTATGAGGCGTTGGCGGGGAGAGCCGGCCGCAAGGAGACGTGTGTCGTGAATGCTGCGATTATGAAGGGCAGTTATCCGCATACTGAGGGGAAGCTGTTTAGCAAGCCCATTGTGGTCGATGTGTTCCTGCCAGTATGGCAAGAGGACGATGAAGCTTGAAGAATGAGGGTGGAAAGATGAAAGTTCAAAAAGCTAAGAACGAAAGGAGCAGAATGGGCAAAACTGGACCAGACGGGACGATCGAAAACACAAGTCGAAAAGGGGAGGGCATAAAGCTTGCGGTCGTTGAGACGATGATGGGGTAATAGGTACAAAGTAGCTTACTCACTTACACGGACAGCAGGCAAGCTTCATCAAAGCACGTGTAGCATTAATAGCAGCTCTCTTTTACAGCATGTTATCAAATCCAGCTTGAATACTCCCCAAGTACCTCATCTACTTGCCGGTACCTCGCTCATCCGGCAGAAAGCCATTGACGAAACGCCCGGCGTCCCATGATCGATAACAGCCATCTAGACTGTCCCGGCACTTGAAGCTAGCCAGCCTCAATAAGTTGACGATAAGCAACATAATCGGCCAGCACATCCCATCCCAACCATCGTAGCTCCGACGCAGGGCCAGCGCATTGATCCCCCGCTCATCCCATCCTCCTCCCGGCCGTCGAACATGGCCTCTCTAACACCCCTGCGTCACGCCCTGAACTGGCCCATCACACGGCTCTAGTAAAACGCTAATAAAGGGACAAGTAAAAAGGAACAGTACTAACTACTGTTGCTACTACATGATTCTGGGGAGAGGGTTGCCTACGTGTAAGTTTTGCGGCAAGGATTAAGCTGGCATGCCGTTTCATCATCCAATGAGAACGACATGATACTGTCTTTTTTTTTTCCTGGGGTAGAATGTAAAATGTATTTACAACAGCGGACATTGTATCGAAACTTCCCCTCATGGAGACGGGCAGGTTTCCGATCATCGGAACAATACATATACTACTGTGCTGTACCATACATACATATGCATGCGGGCTGCTATTTTCCCCGGCCCCTTGCTTGGGGGTTTTTGTTTTCGTAGGCTTACAAGGCAGATACAGTGTAGCTAGAGTGAAGGAGAAAGAGCTGTTTGGGGAGCTTGATTGGAACGCGGGGATTGCGCTGTGGCGGCGCCTCTTTTTTGGGATTGGGGTTTTGATTGATTGATGCCTTGGGTAGGTTGAAGAGACGGTGTGCTGGGGGTGGCTGGGTGAATGGTGGTTGATTTGCTGGGTTTGTGAGAGGTGTGGTTTTTTTTTTTCTCGTTGAGAGGTGTAGGGTAGCAACATACATGTATGCTGTTGCGATTTTGAAGCTTCGCAAGCTTCAGTGTGCTAGCAGTACCTATTTGTGGATACATGGAGTAAAAACCATAGCAACACAGAAAGAGAGAAATCATTGGATCCCTAGAATTTTAACGAATGAAAACCATTCATTCCCACAGCATCAAAAGACAAAACTCGCTTGAAGGGGGGCACGTTGTACCACAAAACACTAGCCCATGACCAACCCAGTGTTTTGTTTGGTCAGGTTGCCCAGGAAGCCGCACGAAAAGAAGGAAAAAAGCGTGGGTAGTGTCCTGCGTGTGTGTGTGTGTGGATTATCGTCTCGTGGACATGTATGTGCTCACCGCCACGCTTCTCATTCGCGGGTCGCTATCATTGGGTGGAAAGAGGAAGCCTTTTTTTTTTCTTACTGGTGCATGCATGTGTGAGGAATGGGAATGGGGTTTAGTTAGTATGGAGGAGACTTGCAGCGGAATTTGTCCTATCAAGAGGAGACTGGTAAAAGATTTGGGGGAGAGAGTCAATTTTGCGAAAGAATCTAGAAAGAGAAGGAGAAGAAGACCAAAAAAAAAAGGTGATAGATGATGGCTGGGTTTGGGGAGAGCAAAGATTCCTTTTCGAGCGTTTCTCTGCCCGCGTTTGGCGCGCCTATGCCAATAGCAGTCAAGCCATCATCACACTCACTGCTTGAGGAAGAGAAAACAACGAGGCTTCGATAGTGTGTCTGCTGCCGCCGCCGGAATTGCGGAACAGTCGGACAGAAAAATCAAGGAAAAAGAAAAGAACTAAAGAGTAGAAGCAGCTGTAAAACCTGAGCCACTGTCGTTTTCCATCACGAGCTCGAAAGATGACCTCCATCTTCATTTGGCGAAATTCCTTGCCATCCATCTCATCTTCCCATCTTACGGCTGAAAAACGTCATGTACTCTGTATGGCTAGATTCACTCTTCTTTTTGTGCTATAACCGCACCTCTCTCACTCATCTTCCCGGCCAGTCCGGCTCGTGAAACGTGGAATGCAAGCAACGTATTCTTTTTCTTTTTTTACTGTACTCACTCATAGGTGCATATCCCAGTCATAAAAAAAAAAGGTTCGTGACCAACACGCCGTATGATGCTCATCAGGTCCAACAAGCCTTGGCTCTTTCTCACCAAACGGCACCGATATCCTCCGTTTGGCGTAGCATCGCTCCATCCCAAATCAAGTAGCCTAGTAAAAAGAACAATGTCAAGATCAGCAGTCAGACGATTTTTTTTTCTCCTTTCCCGTCTCCCAAGCCCGGCGAACGAAAGCTTCGACCTTGTTTTTTGTTCGCTGGGCGCCCAATGACACCGCGGCAGCAAGCGCCCGGCATATCGTCGCACGCCCAAAAAAAACGTGCCAGCTTTTGGCTTCGGTCAACCGCATGGCCCATCTAACTTAGTACGAGTACTACTATCTAAGACGGAACGAAAGAACTTTCCCACAGTGGCAAAAGCCGGCTCTCGTTCTCCACGTGGCCAGTCACAGGACTTGGGATTCTCTTTTTTCGAACGAAAAAAAAGCAAGTCAGATGCGATCCGACAAGGGAGGGGCACTTATGTTTTTTTTTTTTTAATACGGTAAAGTGGGATGGCGGCTGTGATATGATGATGTGCTTGAATTAATAGCTCACATATTATAGCATGAGCTGTGACCCTGTCTTGTCCCTGCTTTTTTCTTTGCGGTTGTTGCAATTTACGGAAACGATTAAATATAGCTTGGACGATGGTCACGGCTGGATGACGCAGACGATTCCCCTCCGTCATGAACGGGCTGCGGCATCAGCTCTCTCGGCGCAGCACCGTCAACTGACATTTTCCCCTCAAAACAGCTCGTAGCTCAAACCGTCGATCGATAGCTCCCCCCCCAAAGCTACCCTTGCAAGCAACCAAAGCTCCCCTCAAGAGCATTGGATCTTTAGCAAACGATTGGGCTTAGCCGCCGTGATTCTTGTACATGTACTTGTACGGGAGCAATAGTGCCCCGAGCTAGAAACTCAGCTAACGGGGGCTCCCAAAGTGGGTTGAAGCTTTAAACTGATTTCTCACATGAGCTCGAAAAAAAAAGAGAACCCTTGCAAGCTTCAACGTTCTCTAGTTTTCTCTTGCCGCGATAGCAGTACAATGCTACTAAGTTAGGTAGTTGAGAGAGAGGGTACATGGAGCTTAGCACGGCGAAAAGCGCTCACCACAAGTACCCTTTTGGCTTCGTGATAGCGTCTGAGATGGGCTTTGTTAGTGCGAGTGACGGGCTAAGAGACGGCCGCCAGCGGATCATCCGCTCTCTCTCATGGGTCTGGCCGGTACGGTACGGGTTTCTCTTCATGCGAATATGGGGCTGCTCTTTTTCTGGGCTTCTTCCATCGGCTTTTAGCATGTCACGCAGACGATTCGATGCCTGCATGTAGCATCTCTCGCCCTGGTCCCTTGCCTTGCAACTCCTCCGTTCTCCATGGGACTCCGTATGAGGATACCGTACAGTACGAGCTGATTACTGTAAACGGGCAGCTATGTAAGTGGCGCCGGTGTCTTGCGGCATCATCCTTCTCTTCCTAAGCCTCCAAGCCCAGAAACCATGTGGAAACGCTCCGCTCGCACCGCACCGTTACCCGTGCCGTTTGCTCCTGTGAGTGGTCCGTCACTTTTTGGCGTGTTAGCCATGGAGAGCTTCATCCTCTGGCTCCAGCGCTTTTTTCCCAGGTCACGTTCAGCTTTCCGTCCGCTGGAGTTGCCCGCTTCTGCTGACGAGCTCTTCCCGCCCGGCGGACCGTCTAGATCCTTGGGAAACGGCTTATCGTAGTTTTCCATCCTGAGTCGTATAGCTGAGCGAATTGGTGATAGTAAGCGGTGGCAATGGTTGAAGCCTCTCTCCTCCGCCTGTGGATATAGAGAAGCGGAGGGGGACAGACGAGACCCAGCTTCGGCTCGGCACTCCGTTGCGTGTACTCGCAACTTACCAAGGTGACAAGCTCTGGCTCTCCAAAGTGGCTGCCCATCATCCATCCAGTCAGGAGAGCGTGGCTTGGGTGCTCTGGCACGGCTTTTTCACTGGGGCTGGCCGTCGTCACCTGGTTGGCGCATCGGCGGCGTCGAATGGAATCCCTTGGAAGGCCACTCTTGTCCATTTTGGCCGTCTCATCTGACAGGCCGGCCCCGTCCAATCACCCCAGACCTCATGGAGACCTCATGGCCTATTCCCACAGCCTCGCTGGCCCGCTTGAGTCGACGACACCTGTTCCTGGATCTAGTGGTGGTTTGACGGGCTAAGTGGCATGTTGTCTAGATTCCCTTTTTCTGCCAACCAGAAGCCACACAAGCTGGCGTCCCTTGGTTCTTAGTGTCTGTCCCTTCCACCCCCTCCATCCTCCTGACTTGAATTCTTCTCCACGCTGGCTGGCACTTTGCAACCCCTCGAATGGACGAGCGAAAGATGGGTGTGGGGGGGGAGCGCAGCGCTGGCGACATGGACAAGGGAGCAGTGAGGCGCGCCTGTCTGCGTGATAGGTGAGTGATGCTGTGATGGTGGAAGAGGGAAGAAGGAGAAAAAAAGGAGCCCCAGATGGTGTCATGCAGTGACGCTGGCGGCAACGAATTGCGACTCGCGGCCTCATGCAAGCCGGCAGGCCAGACGCGCAGCCAAGCAAGCCTGTCGGTGATATGCGATAATGCAGAGGCTCTGGATTTACAAGGGGCTTTTACCGCGAGTTGCGTGTATCGAATACACGAGCCTGTCGCGGAGCAGGACGCAGAGCTTAAGGTACATGTACATACAGCCGAGTCAATCAATGCGATACGATACGATACAGGCATGACCTGGATCTTACCTCTCCAGTGTCAGTCAGTGTTGCCTTATCCTACCCCATGGAGCTGGTCATGAATGGCGGCTCGTGATGCGGGCTACAGTGCTTCTGTGCGTCGTACATTACGGAGTACATGAGTCCTCGCATGCCCTGTGAAGCAAGGAGCGTCTCTGCTCCGTGCATCGGTTGCATGTTCCCATCATACATGATACATGCACGTTGTATGTACGAATTGCCCTCTCGTACATGTAGCCTATGCTCCCCCAAAGCGGGGAGGAGAGACAGGATAAGAAGATCCATGGGCCCTGCACTGGAGACCAGAAACTCCAGTCTGCGAAGCGGGTCAGCCCGTTGCAGCTGGGATTGATTGATTCCGAGGCAGCATTCACAGATGGTCGCCCAGAGCGACGGGAGGGGGGCTGGCCATTGTTTTGACATCTCAGTCTCGTCTCCGTCTGTTTTGTTCGCGGACCTCGTAAAAGGCGTCTCGCCACCCCCAGTCAAGTCAGGGACGCGCACACGCTTTGGCGTGCTCGTACCTGTTCCGCGACGCATCTTTTGGAGACCTGGTGCCTCGCATATGCTGCTGACTGGCAGCAACTTGCTACTGCTAGTAGGTAGTTGGAGCAAGGATTCGGGAGAAGGAGGGAGGGCGCGGAGCCGCCACTTCATTGGGCGAGAGGCGAAGACGCAGGTCGACAGAGATTCGGGGCATCCGGGGGGAGGAGAGAACAGACGCTCATGCGATGTGATTGCGCACAGCGAATGACGTTGGACCAAAGGCAAGGGGAGGTAGCCGAGTGGTAGGCCGGGACCCTTCTCGTGACTGCAGAAGCTACAGGCTGGCGATGGTGATGGGCTGGCTCCTAAACTGCTCTAGTGAGGTGGTTGGCGATGCTGATATCGAGGCTCGTCGCGATACTCTGGCGCTCCGCACGAGTACCTGAGGCTACCTCGAGCCAGCAGCTGTTCCTTCTTTTGGAGTTACCTGTAGTAGATCGTGATGCAGCTGCGTGTCCCTTTAATCCGTATCTGGTCATCATCTTCATCGTGCTCTGATTGCCCGTGCCGTACGTGTAGTCGGGCCTCAACTTATAATAACCTCCACGCGGGCACGCATGAATGGTTTGCGAGCCTCCCGCTGGTCCTGTCCAACCAACTATTCGCGGCCTGCACGCGGCAAGCGAGCAACAGTTGAGACGACTCATCGATCTCGCCACACCAAACTGACATACATAATACATTACCTACCATCCGGCTCCATCTCGTTTGGGAGATGCTTGAGCTGCAGCCCGCTGTTGCATCTCGTTCCCTCCATCAAACTCCACAAATCTCACTCTCTTCTGCTCGCTTGATCTCACAGGCTCCCTCTCGCTATTCCTAATCAATTGAAATCTTTCATTCTAGTCTTTTTCCTCGTCTTCCTTCCATCGAAAGCTGCGGTGGGGATTTCGAAAGCCCTGCTCCGCCGACAAGGGAGGAAGAAGCCCAATTGCTTGCATTTTGATCCAATAATAGCCTCGACAGCTCTTTTTGACTCCAGACGACTTATACACTTGACCCATTGCTAGCACCGTCTCAAACACCTTCACCGCCAGTGTTCCGTCGCCGGGTCAATTGCAAGAGATCGTCTTTTCGACGGTTGACATTGAAATCATCGTTTGTTGTCATTGTTCTGCTTCCTTGATTTTTCCTTTGGTTTTATTACACATCTTTTTTCTGGTATCTCTTTCTGGCTGCATTGCTGTGTTGGCCGCAATTTGTCTGCCTTGTCGAATTGATCTACCTGTCACGAATATCCGCATTTTACACGCGGCTCCTATAAGCGCCTGAAGCAGTCGCCACTACAGCGCACAATTACAGCGACTCACAGCTGCCTGCGCCCGGCCACGCCAGCATCAATCTGTCATCCCGAGGTCATCTTACAGCGCAATTGGAATCAGAGCAGCTCGACGCCAATTAAATTCATCAGCCTTGCTTGCCTCTCGCTTTTTCCGGTTCATTGCTTCTGGCCGGCCTAACAATTGACTCATCCGCTATAAGACGAACACAATCCATTGCTCACTCGTGCCTTCGTCATCCGCATACCTAATACTTAATACTTCGTACACAGTCATCGTCATTGTCTCTTCGGCCCTTGCACCAGTACCGTTCGACAAGCTCCGTCGGGGCCCGTCCGCTACGCGGAGTGTACATCAGCCGATAGCTGCACCTGCGCAACTGGCCCCTCGTTTCGTCTCACGACCTGGGTACCGCCCGCGTCTTTTTGGTCCCCTTTGGTTTAGAGCATAAAGTACCGGTGCAGGGCCTTGCTGATCCGTCCGTGTCATTTTTTCTCGCGCATTGTGTACGGATTGAGGAGTTGCAGAGTCTGTGTGGTCATCAGGTTGTGAACTTGTGTTGCGTGTACTTGCACCGTCCGAGCATATTATTACATCGATGAGAACAGAGATTTAGAGAACAGAAGAGAGAAAGAAAGAGAGAACGAGAACGAACCGGCTCACTCACTCATCTCATCCACCTCGCTTTACAGTACTTACTCACTGCTCGCTCATCCTGGCTCTCTTGTCTTGCTTGGCTTTGTCACGCGCTCGCACCTTTTGGCTGACGCATTCACTGGCGCAACTCCACCAATCCCGTGCGTCTGTCCAGCTTCTTCTCTCGCCTTCTCCGAAACCGAGGACGCCGGAATCTGAATCTGGATGTTGCTAGCATTATTACAGTCCATTACAGGAGCATGAGCATGAGCAAGATCCCGAGCCCGAGGATTTGAGAGCACTGATTCTCGCCAATTCCGCCGTCAGTCATCAATTCGCATTAGTTAACCAGCCAGCATCATCGTCGTCGTCGTCCGGCCTCACTCAGCCACAGCTCGATTCGCCGCCTTTAAACCCAACCTGTCGTCCGTCCGTCCTCTCTTCTTCCCGTCCCGCCACCGGACCATAACCAGAACCAGAACCAGACCTGACTTGACCCCTCGCCTGCAAAAAGAAGACTCGACATATCTCACCATCCACAGCCCACTCGACCTCCCCACCCTCTCTCTCTCCCTCAGGCCAAGCGTTCGTCCACGGCTAGCAGAAACGGATCCTGCTTGGGCTAGTTGAGGCACCAAGAAAAAAGGCCGCTTGACTCGACTCGCCCCCTCCTTTTTTTTTTTTCCCTCGCCCGCTAGTCTCTACCTGTACGAGGCCCCCGAACCTGCACTGTACCCGTACCTGTTGCCCGCCCCTGTACCAGTACCTGTGCCGTCGCTTGTACTCGCTACATGTACATGCCAACGTGCTCGTCCCTCCCACAGCAGCTCCTCCCCCCCTGGCCCACCTTTTCCCGCCCATAACGAATCACCGCGTGCAGCGCTCCTCAGGCCCGTGACCTCACGACTTTGCTCGCCTTCAGGTACAAGGTACAGCGATCCCCGTCCCCCTCCAGGCCGCAAGAAATCCAAAAAGGGACCTGGCCCAGATCTTGATTCTTTTTGCAAGCCGTGTGTGCTTCGTTGCATCTGTCCACCATCTGCCTCCCGGTTTTACCCCGTCGCTCGTCTGATTTCCTTTCACTTTCCTTCTGATTCTGCTTGCATTGCTTTGGTCCTTGGAAAGCTGTCATTCCTTTTTAAATCAGCGGCGGCTGGCATTCCATTGCGGCGCCTGGGCTTTTGTTATTCGCCGCCTCTCTGCCGCCCATCTATACAATACAAGAACAAGAACAACTCAACCCAACTCAACTCAACTCACAGCTCGCCTACCCTCAGGCCTATTTCTTAACTCTCTACTGCACCTGCGCAGTTGCATTCAGCAGACGTTGAGGATCTTGCCGCAGCCTCAATCGCCCCTGCTCGGAATTCGATGCAAGCTGCCTAAGGCAAAGCTCGCACAGCCAGACTTGAAATAGCCTCATCCGCCTCCAACCCCCCCTCGATCCTCCTCCAACATGAGCTCTACGCCCCCTCCGGATCACTACAAGGTTCTCGGTGTCGCCAAGGATGCGCAAGTAGCGGAAATTCGTCTGGCCTATCGCAAGCTTGTCCTCAAGTGTCACCCCGACAAGGTGCAGGACCCTGCTCTCAAGGCGCAGAAGCAGGAGGAATTCCAAAAGGTCCAGCAGGCCTACGAGCTGCTGACGGACGAGGATGAACGCCGAAAGTACGACGACCAGGTGAAGCTGGCCGAGCTCAAGGAACAGCTGCGCAAGACAAATGTTAGCGGCACCCCGCGATCAAGTTCAAAGTATGCCGAGTATGAAATTCGCACTGCCGAGCCTCGCGCCTCGTCTTACAAGCCGTCCACCAACGTCCCCCCACCCGCCGCCAAGGGATACACGTATCCGCGATCTTATGAGGATGATGTGACCTTTAGCCCTCGAGTATACCAGACTGGCTCATCTCGCACCACAAGACGGGAAACCACCTACGTCGACAGCCGCTCCAAGCGCGAGAGCGAGCGAGATCGCGAAGCCAGGGAAAAGGAAAAGGATCGAGAACGCCGGAAGAAGGCCGAAAAGGAAGACGCTGCTCGTCGCGAGAAGGAAGCCAAGGAGGCCAAAGACGCCCGCCGGGAAAAGAGAGCAAAGGAGAAGCAGCGCGACAAGGACATCAAGCGCGAGTCTGAAGACAAGAAGAAGCACACCAAGGCCACGGCCTACGTGGTTGATGATTACAGCGATGATGCTCCCACTCCCGCTCCCGCTTCTAAATCTGACAAGAAGAAGTCGTCGAGCAAAAAGTATGACGAGAAGCGCGATCGCTCTTCTCAGCGCGAAGACATTCACATCGTGTCTCCCCAGCCCCCAGCCGTCCGCTCCTTTCCAGAGTATGTGACTAGCAAGTATGTGGAGCAGCCTCCACGAACTGTGCCGCCTGCCCCAGAACCATCTTCTTCTTGGGAAGACACCCACAGCAAGCTCAAGGATGCTGCCTCTTATATCGAGGCGGCTCGAGCCAAAGAGGGTGTAGCTGGCCCTGGTGGTCTTAAGCGATCTATGACTTATGCGCCGCGGATGAACCAGCCTCCCGCTGCTCCTACTCCCCCTCCCGCTCCTAACCAGACGTCTCCATTTGCTGCTCCCGATGACGATGATGTTCGTCGCTCAGCGGCGCGACCTCGCCGTGGCTCCACGGAGAGCAACCGCCCGAGAGACAGATATAGCAAGTCGTCGAGGGAGCCCCTCACCGAGCCCGTCGTCATGAGCGCCTCTCCCAACAACCGTCATGCCGCTCACCCCGCCATGTCCGGTTCCCCCCCTCACCTGTCCAGGACACACACCATGCCTGCCGACGCACAAAGCTACCCACGAGCTGTACCCATTACACGCTCTCAAACCTACAACTACGGAGAGGCAGCCGACCCTCGTGGCCGCAATCGTACGCGCTACCAGTCGCAAATCGACGAAGAAGATGCCGATTCAGACGACGTCCGTGACCAACGTGCCAGAGACCGCAGGCACCGCGGCAGCAGGAGGGAGCAATCCGTCGATCAAGGATATGGCGAAACTTCTCGATACCCCTCTGGATATGAAAGCAGCCGACAGCCGTCGTACAGCCGTCGCGCTGCTGACCCGGAATCTGACCGATATGCCTACCACTCTTCCGGTTACAATGATGCCCGACCTTCAATGCCAGTCCGCGACAGCAGCTATTCCGCCTCTGCAGGAGCTGCTCACTTTGCCAAGGTCAAGACGTCCAAGGCTTACGGATACGACGACATCCAGTACACCAACTACCACCAACACAGCCAGAAGCCACGTGAAGAATATACTTATGCATGACGGCGTTGGACTTCCATTCTTATACTTCATTTCATATTTTTCTTACTGTGCCTCCCTGTGTTCGACCTCCTCTCGGTTTTAGCAGAACGATATCTTGTTGACAACAACAAAACTCAACCGCAGGGATCCTGGTACTTCCCCGAGTACTTCCCTGACTTCTATTAACAGAATTGTTTACATACACCATTTTCCTTATTTGCAATCTATGCCAGAAATCACCTTTCGTTTTACTTTTTGTTTCTATTCCTGGTTTCACTATACGACGAGATGAGACGATCTATCTTATGACTACTACAACAATTACGCGGAGTGCACTGGTGTGCTTCCATGATACGGGATGATGGCCTTTCCCCCTTTATTTCCTTATTTACAAGCGTGTATGCCGGATATTGGCAATCAATTTGTTTACTTTTTCCTTTTTTTCTTTTGGAGACTCCATATTTGGAAGAAATGACGTTTCTATATTTCCCACAATTATCGAGATTGGATGCTCAAGGATACTGGAAGTGAAACTACTCACTCTTTGTACCTTGGCGTGGAGAGGGAGATTTGTTTGATCTGCATGCGCACATGAAGCTGGGGACCCAATCCCTTGAAGTGTGCCACAAGGCGTTTTCTGGAGGACTACACTGTTATGACACAAAGCCCAGGGATACCATTCGCTCTTTTATAGACATGGGCACGATTTCGGAGGAAGAAGATTGATTGAATAGCGGCGGAGAGAGCAGTACTACTACCAAAGCATTTGGATAGAGCCGCGACGGAACTGCGCGCAGGGACGCGGCATGACTTGATGACACTGAGCTGTTTGATGTTTCTACGTCATTTTTTTTACTGGCCAAGGATGTTGTTTGTTGTTTATTTGTTATTTCTTTTTGAAAGGGGGTTTTCGCTACTGGAAACTTTTTGAGATGGAGACAAATATTTAGCTACCCAGCACTCTGCAAACATAGGCAGAAATTTGAATATGAATATGAACATAAGAATGGAACAAACTGGTCTCTCCTTTTTTGGTTCGAGGTGTGTGTGAATGGAACAAAACTGGTCTCCCTTTTTGGTTTACGAGTTGTGTGTGATTGTTTAAAGTGAATACCACGTTACCCCTCACGCATCACAAGATTGTCCTGCAGCGGCACTTTGTGTGGCGAGGTGTGTCACGGTGTGGGCTTGGAGAGTGAATACGACGGTGATTATGGAGGGTGGTGAGATTGTGACATAAGGATGGAGTTGGGAGGTTTGTACTCTTTGTATATATGACTCTCTCTTCTATGTATATTGCTTGTCTATTTACCTAGGTAGTTGTGAAGACATGTGATGGAGTGGTTGAGATGGAAATTGACTGCTTACTGTGCCTGTGTCCACTCTGCTAATTCATCCATGATTACTATTCTTTGCTCGTTTCAGCCCGTTGAAGTGATATGGGTATTTAACATTGCATGGAGTTTTGTGGCGTCAACTTTATTCGGGTTGATTACTTTGAGTGATTCGGATAGATCCGAGGATATTGCCATTTTCGGTGACCTTGCAAGGGCGAGAGTATGCTGGTGATGTGATTTAGGGACTATGTAGTTTGAAACATTTATCTTTCTGTTTCTTCTTGTGGAGTTGACCGGAGATGAATATTCCAACATGACTGACTCGTGGGTATGAGGTATATACGACTAAGTATCATTCTATGGGCGGCCATTATGCGGCAACTATTTCAACTGCCGTTGATGTATCCGAAGAAGACTATACGTGTATTACAACATCCCGAAGAAATGATTCCTCAAGATTAGGTTTATGTGCATTCAGGGATATCTGCGACTACGCTTGGAAATCCGAGGAAATCCGTATTGCCTCCTCATATTAAGAATATACCCAGGTGGATACGCAGTAAGACGGCCGGCACGGGAATCGGATAGTAAGCTTTTACACAATCCTATACGCCTACTATCTCGCTCCCAACTCGTCCAAGCATCACCACCATGACAAACCACCTCACCTTTGATAAGCAATGCGCTGCTTTCTCAGCAACACTCCTCTTTTTTGCAAACAGAAAATAACACCCAAACGAGACAGTGGCTGCAATGTGGGCTATCCCGAAATACCCAACATCTCCGCTTTTTGGCGAACTTATATCCGGGGCTTTCTGAGGGGTGGGGTCGCCCGTGCAAGCTCGTAACACGCAGGATTTCTAAGCAACACTGAGGGCACCAGCGAATCTGGGTTCGGGTCAACTTGGGCCCAGTGGGCGAAGAGATCTGTCCGTCTTATTGCGAGGATATTACCTCATTGCTCGTTTAGTCAGGGTTGGATCTAACAAAAAGTCCAGGAGAAATACGTGGAGTATATATAACCACTATCCGCCGAGGCAGCTTCATCTCGACTCTTTACAAAAGTACATGTCTGCTCGCATATCACAGCTAGGACGGCAATTATTCAACAACATGGGTATCCCTACTGATATTACGCTTTACACGGCCGCCACGCCCAATGGTATCAAGGCTTCCATCCTGCTTGAGGAGCTGGGCCTGGAGTACAAGGTGAGACATGTCACAGAGTATCGCATTACACCTTGAGCATGATTGACAGTTCTATTCTATTCTACAGGTCCATGCCATCGACATGACCGCCAATGAGCAGAAGGAGGACTGGTTCCTCGAAATCAACCCCAATGGCCGCATCCCCGCCCTCACGGACAAGTGGACCGACGGGTCGGAGATTCGCATCTTTGAGAGCGGTGCCATTCTGCAGTACCTCGTGGACCGCTATGACAAGGACCACAAGGTTTCGTACCCCAAGGACTCCAAGGAGACCTGGGAGGTGAACAGCTGGGTGAGTTCTTCCTGTGAAACTTTTTAAGATGTTATGGAGCTAACTATCACGATGTAGCTGCACTTCCAGATGGGTGGCCTAGGTCCTATGCAGGGACAGGCAAACCACTTTAACCGTGAGTTCCATAGCAACATAAGCATCATGAATGAGTTTTTGCTTACATGGCGATTGTAGGATATGCTCCTGAGAAGATTCAGTATGGTATCAACCGCTACACCAACGAGACGCGCCGTCTCTACTCTGTCTTGAACAACCAGTTGGCCAAGTCCACCTCTGGCTACCTCGTCGGCGACCGCGTCACCATTGCCGACATTGCCTCCTGGGGATGGGTTGCTTCTCACGGTAAGTTGCTTCACCATCTTCAACTTGATCCATTTTCTTTTTTCCTGTTTCAGTTGACGCTAATTGGGATGAAATGCAATGTAGCCTGGGCTGGCGTCTCGCTGGACGAGTTCCCTGCCCTGGACAAGTGGCTGCACACGCTTCTCGAGCGGCCCGGCTTCGAAAAGGGCCGACATGTGCCCAAGCCGCACACTGCGTTTGATTTGGCAAAGTTGAGTCCTGAGGAGATGGACAAGAAGGCGGAGGAGACGAGAAACTGGGTGCAGAGCGGGATGCAGGCCGATGCGAAGAAATGAGATGTTTCTATCTAAGATACCAAATGTGAGATGATGCAATGAAATTAGAATTGATGTTTTATTTTTTGAGTCATTGTTTTGATGATATGGAGCGGTGTGGAGTGTTGGGGATGAGAGTGAGGGTTTGCATGAGGTCTGGTGTGAGACATGCAGCCTTGGGTTGATGGTTCAGTATGATGATGACGGGTAAGTATGGTGTACTTTACGGGGAGATTCATTTGATTCGTTACGCAGTGCGAATTGTACATCCAATTGAGAGTACGATTGAATACTGTATTTAAGAGGTTGTAATGCCAATCATTGCGTGCTCAACAGCCACACATAATCATGCATACGAATAAACGAACTTACACACCAAAACCACGACATCCGAATAAGCGGCCCATCGGCTCTGACTCACTTGCCGATCTCCAAACCATCTCAATCTGTCTAATTTTTTTACTTACTCTTTTTCTCTTATTAACCCCCAGCTAGTGAGAGTGAGCCGAATCGGAAAATGGTGCAGGGGGTGCCGCATCACGAAGCGGCTGGAGGCGATGGTGCAATGCGCTTGGTGCGGGCATTCTGTCGAATCACGGGGGGTGGATGCACGGCATGAGATCCTTGTCGGGGGTTGGTGGATGGCAATTATGTGATTTGAGGTTGCAACTTATATATATCGTTGCCGTAAGAATAAAAAATCTCTGCAATTCTTTCTCTTTCATCATCTTCTTTTTATCAGTATTGTGAAGAGACTTCTCTCAACTTCACCCACAACAGATAGCAACTGCCCACTCCACCATGGCTTCATCAACTCAAATATTCACACCGCCGCCTATATCAAAGTCTCCCTCAACCTCACAAACATCTAATATCAACAATACTCAACCTCAAGTCGACGACATCGAAAGCCAGCGTCCCCCAGCCCAAGAAGACACGCCTCTCCTCTCCGCCCCCGACGAATCCTGGTCTCCCCCCGCGGGCTTCGTCTCCATCCAGCTGGCCATCATGACAAACGTCTTCCTCTACGGCTTCGACAGCACAATCACCGCCGCCACTTACGCCGTCATCAGCTCCGAGTTCGACGCCGCTAACAGCGCCTCCTGGCTGACTACGTCTTACCTCGTTACCTCTGCTGCGTTCCAGCCGCTGTACGGGCGGGTGTCTGACATCTTTGGCCGGAGGGCTTGCTTCTTCGTGGCCACGACGTTTTTCGCGCTGGGGTGTCTTGGGTGTGGAGTGGCGAAAAGCATGTTGGCGCTGAATTGTATGAGAGCCGTGACGGGGATTGGGGGAGCGGGACTTATGACTATGGGTGAGGCGAAAAATAAATCAAGTTGCTGCTTTTGCACGGCTTACATGTGCTGACTGACGTTTCTTATAGCTACTATTATCAACTCGGACATGATACCATTCAAGAAGAGAGGCATGTATCAGGCTATGCAGAATGGAATTGTGGGAATGGGTGCAATCTGCGGTGCTTCCTTTGGCGGCACAATTGCCGACTTGGTTGGTTGGCGCTGGTGCTTCCTCTTCCAGATACCCTTTTCCATCTTTGCGTTTGGTGCAGGATACTTTGTCCTCAAGAACCAGCATCGTGGAATTGTCTCTGAAGGCGGCCTTGGCGCTGTGTGGAAACGAGTCGACTTTTCCGGCGCTCTTCTCCTCGTGGCAGCTGTTTCGACGCAGTTGTTGGGTATGAGTTTAGGTGGAAACGAGTTGCCTTGGGGAAGTCCCTGGGTGATTTCATCGCTTTCGATTAGTGTCGTGCTGTTTGTTGCTTTTGTTGCCGTCGAGGGAAAGACGACAGCGTTGCCGATTATTCCGTTGAGAATGCTTCAGGGAGCAATGCCCATTGCCACACAGATTGCCAACATCTGCGCTGGCATGTCGACATACGGGGTTCGTCTATTTACACGGATGATCGCCCGAGACTAAAATCTTTGCTGACATGCTACGACATTTAGTATCTCTTCATGCTTCCGCTCTTCTTTCAGGCCGTCCTTCAAGACTCAGCCACCAAAGCCGGTGCTCGTCTGGCTATCCCCTCGCTGGCCATGCCTTTGGGTGGCTTGGTTGCCGGTACAGTCATGTCTCGCTGGGGGAAGCTGATTCCGCTCATGCGCACGGGGCTCGTCCTCATGACAATTGGACAGGCTTTGGTTACATCGTGGGCGTTTTCGGATGCCTCGTGGAAGTATGTCTTGTATATCTTTCCTTCTCACTTAGGAACAGGAATCGTGTATCCGGCAACTCTCTTTATCTCGATTGCGTCCCACGCTCATTCAGGTATGTGCTTATACGGCTTATTGGTACGCCGATATCCCTTCACTCACATACGTCTACAGACCACGCTGTATCCGCTTCAACGACCTATCTCGTTCGATCTCTCGGAACTGTTTGGGGAGTGTCCATCACTTCAGCCATCGTCCAGAATACGCTCAGTGTACGCTTACCACAGGTATTGAGCGAGGTACCAGATAAATGGAGAGTACGCCCCTTTTCCTTAGTCGTTTTAAATGTTCATAACTGGTAGGGAAATCGGCAACTGACGTAGATTTCGGCTTAGATTATCGACGAGATCCGACACTCGGTCGAAGCCTTGCGAACGCTCCCGCCGGATATCCAGCTTAGTGCCCGGCTGGTGTACTATGATGGACTGAGGCTTGCCTTTGGAGCAACGACTCTGGTGGCCGCCATTGGGGTGTGTGCTGCCTTTATTGCGAACCCAGCTAACCTGCGAAAGACACACGAATAGCCGTGGCCGCGACCATAAGTCACAGGCCAGTCATGTTATGCGGAAAGTAGTGGACGTAATACTCAGGGTATAGCACTGGGACATAGTTGCCTGTATATGCCATCCATTATTTATACCTTCGTCTATTAGCTTAGGAGTCATCTGAAATGCTTATGCAGAACATGTCGAGGATGTCTTTTGTCTAATTAGTGAAGCTGAGTGGCTTCAATTGACTTATAATTCGGTAGATTTACTATGATACTGGTGAACAACTTAAGGATACTGCATGATAAGCTTGGGTGTTAGGCAATGCCTCGTTAAACATATCATATTCTGTTATGGATACTTGATGCCTCCTTTCCAAGCTTTTATACCCCTAACTATAAGTCATCTTAAGCTTTAACCGCTTGTTGTTTCTTGGAAAGAAATTGAGCAGCTACCATTTTACTCTCCTCTAGCTTGCTTGACATCATCACCGTATGCCGAACCACCCCAGCTTTCTCGACGCCTCTTCCGCGTGTCTCCCCGTTTCTCGCTCATCTCTAGCTTGCTATCAATTTACCTGCAACAACGGCTCGGCAGCATACTTGGGGAGACCCTCCGATATTGCCAATACCAGTCTTTTCAAATCTTCCTCCCCGCCGGAGCAATGCGCAATAAGCTTCTCAGTCACTGATGAGAGGAACCTAGCTCGTCCTGGATCAGCTGCCAATTTCGACATGAGACCTTTTAGTTCTGTACAATAAGAAGCTAGCACTGATTCCTCCGGGCACGACCTCGCAAGGTTTCCAAACGCAACCGATGCATCTGGATCAACAGCTCCATTATGCGGTACACCGAGACTGGCGCCTGCCCTAAAGAAGGCATCCAATGTTCTAAGATAGCCTTCGAAACACTCCTCACCGAGGAACCGCGACGTGGCTATCTTCAAGAAGTGAGAGAATACTGTGTGTGCTCCAGGCCGGTCCAGAAGAGCTTTGTTGGGGTCTGCACCGTAGGACAGCAAAAGATCGAAGAGGGCATTATCCAGAGAATCGTTCCATCGCAGAGCCGGAAACATGAGCGGTCCCGATAGCATGTTGAAGACAGACATGGTACCACGAGCAAACAGAATCCAAGGCGATGCCGCTTCCTCGAGGTATGGGCCTCTGACCCGAGGTAGCAAATTTAGATCCTCTCCGCGTTGGAGGAGGACGTCGAGGGTCCTGGCTACGGGAGCTGGGCTCTCGCCGCTGTTGAGCGACATGGGGGTGAGCGCGGCGAACAGTGGCGATTCGTCAAAGATGTTGAAGAATTCAGGTTGCTCGCGAATTCTTTTTTCAATGTAGGATGTCAAGTTGTGCTTGAGTAACTCCTCGCGGAAAGGCAACCCAGGGTGGCATGCCTCGGAGTTGACTCCTCTTATGGTGACGTGCCCTATGCGCACCATGGCCTCAATGGCCGCTTCATACTTATCTAGCAATGTCGTAGTACGGTGGTAGTGATGAGAAGCAAACTGGTCGGCTTTCAGTGCCTCCGATGCGTAAAACAGAGCGTGGTTGAGATGTGAGATGAACGGTCCACTGTTCAGTCCCTTCCCATGCCTCATGATCCCAGCGACAAGTGAGGTGTGGTGGCATGTGGTTTTGAGAAAGCCGAGGTATGCAGTGGCGATGGATACAAAACCGTTGTAATCATCTGGGAGTTTGCCACGCAAGTACTCTTCCAAGTCTTTGGTCAAGACAAAGTCCTTGACTGTCCTATGGAGAAACTCAACCCGTAGATTTACAAGCTTGAGTAAGCCTTTCGTCTTGTCATTAATGCTGCGAGTCGTCTGCTCTCTCTGCTTGGAGATTTGTTCCAGTGGTCTGGATCCTATCGGGCATCGATAAGCATAGTCGTATTCTTCAAACTCTCTTTCCAATTGCCAATAGAGGTCGATATGAAGAGGTTCCAATGCGTGAGCAGCGGCTTGTAGAATACCCGCCATCTTGGGGTGATCAACTGGGTCCACGCTTTCTAACATGTGCTTGAACAACTGCTCTAGATCAGTCGGTAAACCACTGAGACGTTGGATCAGATTGCTAATTCTGTCGCCGTTAGAGAGACCTTCTCGTAGCGATCGTGTTACAAAGAAAGCCCAGAGAAACACGCCATCGGCCTTAGCAACGATCTGTTCTATAAGACTAGACTTCTCAGGCGCCGTCGTTTCAGACTCAACTATAGCCCACTTTGGATGCTCCCGGAGCTGATCACCCACAAACTCTCGGATGTCGCTTCGAGTCAGTTCGTGAATGTCTAGTCTCTCTTTGCCTTCGCCGCCGAAATTCCTTTCAAATACATCCCACGGACGGCTAGACAAACACATTTTGATATGAGGAGAATTTGCCATATCGCAGAGGACCTTGCAGAGCTCGGCATGATCACTGTCGTACTCGTCGAGCCCATCAATGAAGAAACATATTTTCAGCGGCATATTGTCTGCCGATGCCAATGCTCGAAGTGCAGCCGTAAGCTCCGAAACGGACCACGGTTCTGCAGCAGGCTGCCAGCGTCCAGCCTTGGCAGCTTCCCAACGACTGGGACAGATCAGCGGGACTACTGAAGGATGTTTGTGGCAGACATCGAAGAGCAACGACTGGAGCAGTCCCTGCCATGATTTTTGGATCGGTGTGCCTGCGATCCAAAAAAAGTGCACCGCTACAGCGAGAGTGTCTGCGGAGCCCGCCCATTGGGTAAGCAACTCCTTTGTCTGAGAGTGTTTTGCGATAAATTTCATAAAGGTAGATTTCCCAGAGCCCGGTTTGCCTGAAACCCAAAAGATGCCGCTTCCAGAGCTGAACCATTTGGAAAGCCGCGAGTCAAAGGCCCACTGGAATGTGTTTTTGTGTGTCTGCGGGACAGAATCGTGGCGCACCGGTCGACTGGAATAATTCAGACTGGCGACGATTTTGTCTGCAAACATGTTGTCCTCGGCTTCGATTAAGGTAGTCAATCGATCGCTGAATAGTCTGATATCGGTATTCGTAAAGGCCACAGAGTTTCCCCTATACGGATCCACTGACCGCCTCTGAACCTCAAGTCGGAGATTCTCTACATCTTGAGAAATGGAGTTGATTCGAGACTCATGCTCTGGTCTAAACTGTTGTTTGACATTTTCCAACAATTCGATGGTCTTTTTGAGCTCAATGATTCGGAAGCTAGCGTCAAATGTTAGTCATGACCATGAAAAGCATCTCAGGACCGTGTTACTCACCTCAGAATGGAACTGGCATGACGTGTTACGACGTGAGAAAGCCGCTTTACGTTCTCTGGCCTGAATCTTCCCCCTAGCTTGGAATCAACATAGTTTGTAGCGTCCGTCTTCCGTGACGAAAGTCTATTTCCTGGAAAATCTTTGGGTATGTCTCCAATAGTCTCGAGTAGCACCTCAGAATCTTCTAGAGAAGAAGTGGCTAGTTCTAACAGTGCCAGCTCATCCTTCAGCAGTGGCAATGGACTCGCCAGCAATCGCCGTTGCAATGAAGCATGCTTGTTGAAGAGCGCCAATCTCAATCTTCTGTAATCTTCGACTGCGGAATTTTCGTCTTTTTCCTCGATCGTCGACGAGACTTTGAGTGCAACGGAGGTTGAGAGTAGTTGTAAACCGAACTCTGTGATAGCGAGGATGTCGCTCGCGACACCAAGCGCTGTGATGGTATCCATGAATGATTGGTAGGTAGAGGCGGGATCAACAGGACGCGGGAATTTAAAGCTCACAGGGGAAGGGTCAAAAAGCGGCGCTGGAGTTGTTATTGAGGCTCATATATGTCGGACCGACGAACAGGGCATTGTGGCTGGCTATAAGACCTTGTGTCCCGAAACATTCTCACTCCGTAAATCAACAAATACACTACAGAGACAGAATCTACTTATAGCACTAGCGCTTATATTTAATGTATTCTCCATGCCCTGAATAGTAAACAATACATTTGTATGGTGGCGACAAGGGTAGTATTGCAAGGGGGAAACGCATCATTTCTAGAACAAGTATATTACTGAAGCCCACTTTTACTATCCTAGCTCAAGATTTTTACGATGGGGATCCATTCCCCGCGGCTAGCTATCCGCAAATACAGGTATAGGTATATAGCTTGGGATTTACACGATGACCTTGAGCCGCTCCAAAGTCGGACTGTTCACTTCCCCTAATTGGGTGACAATCCGCTTTAAATTGTTGTTGCCTCTGTATATTGCGCCTCGTCAAAGTATACCGCAAAATGTACAAAAGTTGACTTAATTAAGTGCTTGACTTGGTAACAATAACAAAGGGGGAAAACGCCAATTCGGTAGTCCAGACACTTTGGCTGGCCATAATAATAAAAATTACTACTCGTATGCGAGAGAGGGGGCTATAGAGACAAGGTTCTACCAAAGTTCGATATTCTTGATAGCAAAGATCGAACTTGAGAACGTTTTGTGACATATGTCATTGTTTGTTCCATAACGCCCTGATTCCTTGTAGTACTTCTGGCAATTTATGGGCCCATCTTTTACACCAAATCTCAATTTGCCAGGCAAGCTACATAGGTAGCTTACATTACTTTCTTTCCAACTGTCTTTTCAATCATCTTATGCAAGACTCTGATTTCTAGCTACACTGGACGGCCTTCATAATTCCTTGTCGCAGACTCCATTTATATTGACTCAACTTATCATGCGACCTCAAGAGATGCATACTGGGATAAACTAAGGATGGAAAGACCAATCGACATCAGGCGCATAAGTTCCGCCTCACTCAGGTGGATTCGCTTAATCGGGTTTAATTTAAGGGTCCGTTATTACTACTACAGCATCATATTCCATCTAGTAGGCTGCTATTCTAGCCCATTAACAACCAGACGTTAAGTGGGAGATCAAGGCCCAACAGAGGGCTATTGTCTTTCCTAATGCTGCTGCGGGATTTCCCCACCACATATAGTCTGGGAACCGGGGGGGGGGGAGGGGTGTTAAAAAAGACGACTAGCATAGGGAGCGTAAGGCGAGCATGGAGCTTAAGAAGCAAGATGTATTTAAGCGGTTGTTAGAGATGGATGAGCGTGATAGAGCCGAGCTAATTACTGGGGCTGGTGGGTGAGTGGTGCTTGTCCGCTTTCTTGTTCTAGTTTAACTTGACTTCCCTGTGCCGGTTAAGTATTGGTGTATGAGGTATCAATGGATGAAGTTAATGTAATTTGAATAGGGTGGGGGGGGGGGGTTGAATTGTCAGTGCGTGGGCGCGATGCGGTGTCTTGTGCTGTGTTGAGATAGCAGCTCGTCCATTTTGGCATTGTTTTCTTACTACATGTACATAGCTACAAGTATGTACCTAGGTAGTGAGAAAACAACGCCTTTTGTGCTTTAGACCACCTGTACATAGGTACATACTCGTATGCGTGTCTGCTGCGATCATCTTCGGTCCCGTTTGCAAGTCGTCAGCCCAGCCGGCAATTCACCGCTTTGCACTCCTCTAACCAAAACTGAGCGACTTTCCAGTGGACCGGCAGCACAGCCCAGGCGGCTGAAAATCAGTGAAGCAGGAGCCTGGATTTTAGTGGTCTACAGTGGAGGTCTGACATGACGGGTATGATGGTGTCCATGCCCTGCAGCGGTCGCTGGTCTCTGATTACACTACATCCATTGTCCATTGATTAGCCAACTTTAGAAGCCGCTGCTAGCTTCGCGTTAGGTTGCGGGAAAGAGTGGGCCGGGACAGCAATGAAAAAATTGTGGAGGAAAAATTAATCGGCATGGCGGTTGTCGCAAACCGGAGGGCAGCAGCGTTACTCGCATGCACGCATGCACGCAGTCCGCCTCTAGCCAATCGGGACCCCAATTTGACGCTCGATTGATCAGGACCAAGCTCACAACGATTCAGTTGTAACGACTCCGTCAGCTCACAGCCCCGTTTAAATCCACCCTTCATTCTAAGCTACCAGGCGTCTTTGAGCAATCACGACATATACCTAGGTAGACAGCTCCTACATCCTATAAGCTCCCACGACTTTCGGATGGTGTTCAACTTCGACAGTCTTACGCTGAGGTTTAACATTTACGATCAAAACATAATTTAATATAATAATGGATGCTGTGCGAGGTACAGCCAGTATTTTCCACCTTTTACAACAATGCTTAAGCCATATCAAGCAGGTGCGCAGGTTCGAAACTGAATTCAGAATCTATGAGCTCCATCTACAAATGCATCTCTCCCGGTGCGCCACCATTGCAAGAATCATCCACGACACGAACCGCGTCGACGATTTTTTATCCATGAATGCAACTGGGGACACAATCAGCGTGTCGCGAGACCGAGAACCAACAGCAGCGGAGATTCTATCTGCTATTCAAGACGCCCTCCGCATAGCTCAACGTGAAGCTGCCCAGATCAGGGCTGATTGCAGCACACAGGCTCGAATGACGGGATTTGTTGACAAACGAAAAGCCCAAGCGACAAAAACAATTGGAGTGGTCAAATGGGCTTTCTACAAAAGAGACGATTGCAACAAGTTTATAGAGGAAATTTCCTCCATAATTTTGCATCTCGAGCACCAGGTCGATAGGGAAAGGCGCACACTTGAGTCGTGGTAACTTGTACTACGATGCGGACGGCCGTGACACAAAATTACAACACTGGTTACGTAGATGGGTTTTTTTGCATAGCGATGGTCTCTTAGGTTATTTAATTCGAGGAAGCGAATAAAGTTATTATTTCGATTTTTACTTTATAATGTAAAGATGCGCTCCAACGAGTATCGTATTCGGGCGCCGGGCCAGCTCAGTGCCGCAGAAATTAAAAAATGCTACTCCATGGGCTATTAAAACGGCTGCTGCGAGGCGATCCCATATTCAGAGTCTGCTCGGGATTTCTTTCATGTTAGTAAAATGTCATTGAGAGATCGTGTAAGGTCAAATCCGTAGTATATTTTAACTTACTTCAACAGTATATTCATTTTTTCACACCTTTTTTTCAAGGTCGCTTCCAGCCGCTTCGGAACCACGTATTCTCCAGATATGCACTGTGGCGCTTTTTTTCTCCAGTCTTCTTGGGAAGATTTGCCAGCCTGCGCCATTGGGTATCGATCAGTCGCACAAGGATCTTACTGGATAACATACCATTCAAGTAAACCCACACAGGAGCCCCGTAACTTTTATTTTTTGTTTCTTGGCTGTCTTTCTTTTTTTTCTTTTCTTTTCTTTTTTTTTTTTTTCGCTCAGCAGGTAATCTGGGGATACGGCCCTAGACTTCTTTGAAACTGTTTAACGCGCTCTTCTCCTTTTCTGCTGCCAGCTTGCGGGCAAGCCCTTCAATCAATGTTGATTGAAGCCAGGCCGTTCGTAGGGCACAGCTCCAGTCAGTAGCAATGCAGGTGGGTGCCCACTTGTGGCGGCCATTGGCCTTACGCTGGAAAAATCTCCACGCTAGGGATGCTTTGATTGCTGCATCCAATAGGAACAAGCCACTTGACAGCTGATTAGTCATTAGCCGGGCTTATTGAAGGTGGTATGCAAAAGATAGGATGATGCCACCTTCTAGATTGCATAGATCTCGACGACACAAGATTATTTCTCCGCCATTGAATTGATTCGCTCAGCTCGTGGCTCCGGCTCTTTCAAGCCAACGCCGCCAATGATCCAGTGATTAATAGCCCTGAGGATTTCCTGCATTCCACAGGCTCTCACCCGCGATGCCTCCGGAGCTTTGCGATCCAGTCCGGCCTCACCCACCACGAGCGTGCTTTCCATAGGAGCTCGAGCATTGGCTGGAAAGTCTTCCATCTCTAGCCCAATATTCCTATGTGTTATAGGCGTAGTCTTGCTGGTAGTCATTTGCTCCTGACTTTTTATGCTTTTGCATTGACTTTGGTATTGATGTAGTCTTTGTAATAGTCAAGATGCTACTTCTAGGATGAGATGCTCTTGTATATTTCACTCATCGCCTGAAGCTGTATCTGTCGTCTGGAGAATCCTTTCCAACCGTTACATATTCATACCGCGTTGATAATATATGCATTTGATGTGCGAAGCTGGGTTACTCTGGTGGTCAATCTATAGTAGAGACGCACCAAAAATATACTTATGAAGTTTGAACTGCTATTGAAGTGTGGTCAAAGGAATCTTCATTAAAAAAAAAGCGGATGTAGCATGATATTTCGGTTAAGCTATCAAAGCTATCACGGTGGGCGGTAGTCTGGTCACCACATCGTAGGTCACAGAACGTAGGGACCAAGGTTGATGTAAAGGGTGACTTGCTGTATCTCATGACTACGGAAAGGGTAACTACCTACCTACATCATGTACCTATATCAGCCCACATCAGCCAACTGGAATGGTTGGCAACTACATACGGCGAGGATATGGTACTACAAAATATCATTCCTGGTATTTTGTCAGCTCCGGGGACCAATGGTTGCCGTTGGCTCCAATCCTTGAACGATGAAACAAGAAGACGCTTGATATGGAGTCTGTGGGCATGGGAATACATGCTCCGACAGCGCTTCCAGCGTGATCGTGGAGCTATTATGATGGAGGCAGATAACCTTCAGCACTCCATCGGCCAAAAAGTGAATTACCGTTGCAAGAATACATCAACAGGAAACTGGTAGTAAGTGTGCGGAGGTTATGTGACCTCACCCCCCTCCCCCCGGCCAAAACAAGCAGCCATCCCTCGCGTAATATTTTCATGTCCTAATATCTCAAATGACAAAAGAAAAAGGGTTTCCCGATGACCGTCTATTAACCTTCATGTGGTAGCTTGGCATGTATGGTGATTTCTCCTGATGTATTCAAAAGTGAAGATACCAGTATGTATCAGATACCAAGATGTTGATTAATCTTGTTGTGTGAGCTAACAATGCTGCTCAGGTGATCATTGATCTCATCCAGCACCATGTCTGGCGATATTCCGATTAAGCAATATTCTGTGGTGTGGATATGGTCAGATGCAATAGCTTTAGATATATCTAGTAGATTAGATAGATCTAGTAGATGTAAGTAGATCTAGTAAGTAGAGCTCAATAGACTCGGTAAAGATATTTTCGCCGCAGAGGTAAAGCGGTACTATTCTCTCCGTTGTATTACAACCCTAGAGTAGATTTGACTGCCTGGAAATGGATCACTACTAGTTACAGTTCCTTGATTCACTAGATAGATCGAGACACCATCTTCCTTGTTTCAGTAGCACCGCTGCCAAACCATGTGCGGGATATCAAGGGTTACCTCAGAATACTCTGGGACCCGGTATGGCCATTTGGGTATGAGCAAAAGGAGGACCCCACACCAGGGGGATATTTTTTTTTATAGAATCGGTATACACCTGTCTTTACGACTCACCGATTGAGTTGGACGTCCCAAACCCTCTAACACTTAAGCGGATCCTTTCAGGCAGGATGAAGCCCGTAGAACAGCTGAGAGCCCGCCAGAAAGTTCGAACAAAACAAGTCAAAGACTTTGTTAAAAAGCAGGGAGGTGCAGCTTACATGCTCTAGCGAGCCATATTAGCGTCTAAGTAGATAAATTGATGAGCCACGGGGGCTTCGTGATTGAGAAGGCTGGAATGAAGTCGAATAGTGCCGTGTACCGCCGATTATCACTGGCATCAACGGACGTAAGTAACATCAAGTTGACCATTCCGACAGCCCGCCTTTTGCTGCGATGTTCCGACCTCTGCTAAGGGACCGTTGGGGAAGTTCCTGAAGGAATGCCCTCGAGTGAATTTTCCCGGCTCTACCCCAAATGTTGAGGATTCTGATTCCGAAGAGAGCGAGTTTGACTTAATGGAGATCGATGAATCCGGACTACCATACTTTCAGAGGCGGCAAGAGACCCGAAAGGCGCAATCCAAACCATTTCCAGCTGCAGGGACAAAGGAGCTAGGCCAAGTCGCGATGTTCGATTCCACAGGTGGCCTCGTCTATCGAGATGCTGAAGGCCCTCTGGAGAGGGCCTCACATTCGCCTGCTCATCAAGTATGCACCATTGACCGACGAGCAATTTGAGTACGCGAAGGACCATCTCGATGAACCTGTATTCCCTGATCGAGAGCGGAGACCTCGCAATCCACTATGGAAAGATGTGATATGTGATGGAGCAATTCTCCGGAGAGGGACTGACGGAATCTGCGGCTTCCACCTTAAAGTCCCCTACATTAAGGCCTTGAACATACCCTCGAAAATTCTCAAAGAATTGCGGAAAGTTGCCTTAAACTTCACCAATGACCTGCTCACGGATGAGGACGTCTTACATGCTTTCTGTAATGGAATTTCTACAACACTCGTCTAAAATAAATGCTGGTTTTACAGCGATCGAAGTAAAGTCCACAAAACCTGGCGTCTTGGTTGGCTTCATTGTAGGGTGACTTGGGTAGATTTAGGTAGATATAGTAGAGATCTAGTACATAAAGTAGATCGAATAAATGGAGTCGGTTTAGCTAGGTCGAGTAGTTGTTCTGTCAAGTTAGCCCAATGGCTTCAAGTCATTGATTCGTCATACAACAACACCAAAAAGACTTGTAGAAAGCATAAGCAACGAATGGGCTAGAAAATGCCAATGAGCTGCCCCAAGAAGCCTTCTCTATGAAGGGAGATCTGGCTCATGCGTCTGGGACATGGAGCGACGCCCTGCTGGTATTGTCGAAGTAGGGGAAGACCAAAATGGGTGGAACTATATCACATATCCTCGGTCATTATAGTGGGAACTTGCAGATGTCAAGTCTTGTGCCTTTCAAGTTGTTTTGACTTGACGGGCTTAATCACTAAATGCAACTTCCATAATTCACATGCATAGGTACACGCTGGTCAAGTAAGGCAGTGATTTTTAAATACAATCAATCAGCGTCTCCAACGTAGCAGTTCCTTCAAACAGTTATTCGCTTATTACGGCTGAGTCGCGGCCATTTGAAGACATCAACGTGTTACCGAGACCCAACGTTAACCCCGTCTCGCTCCATGATTCCCACTACCAGCATTGGCTCATCAGAATGCTTAGAAGTTTGAGTTGGCTTCAAAAGGTCCTCCATAGTAACCACCTCCTTCTGCATCCCAATACAACTATCCGCAATAAGTATGTTTGGCGTAGGTAATCTCTTCAATCCGCACGCTCTCCGTTTATAAAGAGGCTGTCGAACTCGCTCTGTGTCCCCACGTAAGCCATGCTCTTGGTCGAACAAACAGGATCCTACTCACGTTTAGATAATAGTTCAATCAATGTCCATTCCCTCAGTCGCTTGCTGCCACGGCTGTGGTCCGTAATACATGTAAATTCAGGCGAAAAAAGAAGCTGGCCAAACACCCCTAGAATGAGGGCCAGCAATCGGCTCCATGGCTCGTTCGAGAGTGGTTGCGCTCGATGTTCGAGCTGAAGACAGCTGAAAAGTGGCTGGCATTTCGGCAGTGTGCTCTGTGTTGGACTCCGCGTTGGACCTGCCGCAGCAATTACCAATGAACCATGACAAGCTCTCGAATTTCGCACTCCACATCATGAATATTAAAAGATTCGAGGATCAATTTGCATGTTCGTGCAATAGCATATCCTTCACTCCATGGTAATGAACGCGGCCTAACAGTAACAATAAGGGTAATAGGAAAATCTTTGTTAACTCCATCATCGTATCCAATACCGAAAAGGTCGATGGAGATAAATTGGGCAGCGCTGGCCGCGAGTGTGATCTGCATCTGTAGGGTATATATTGGGTTATTCCATATATGCATGAAGGCATGTTCTGTGACAGTTTTAAGTGCTTTGGGAGCCATATTTTCGGTGCCTGCGAAAGCGATCCGGTTGGGCAGCTGTCGTTTTACCCAAACATGGCTGCTTGAGCGTGCGACGAGTCTAGGGCAATATGTAAGTCCGTAGTAGTAGAGCTGACACTCTTCCTCAGTGGGAGGCATCGGAAACGTCAGCTGCTGCATCGTTTTGGAAGTTGGAATCGATGCTCAGTTGGATTGGCTGGGGCTGGCTGAGTGCGTGAGTGCTCGTTCAGATCAGAAGAAATGCTTCGGTGATAAGCAGATGTTGGATGAAGTGTCTGGGATGTCCTGCCTTTAAATGGATGCCCAATGAACAAACACAAAGCTTAATGTATTGTAAAAGTGCGAGGAAAGTAGCATGTACGATATGGGCAACTACTTTGCAGGCGACGTCGATTGCCAGTGACGATAATTCTCCAGCCGCCGAGTGAAATAATTCTTGATGGATTAGCTACCCAAATATTGTAACCAACATACATATACTCTATCTACATACCCAGAGCTAGTATGTCCATCTATAATAGAGTCTCCAATACACCTTTGGTAGCACTGGTCGCATTAGTCCCTTTGAGTTGTATTTTCACCCAGTTGCCGTCTCAAAACCTGCCGTGCTGTAATTTTTCCTCATTTGGGCAATTTATTACGTTCATTATATCGGATATTTTCTTCCCCTGCGCTGTAAGCTCGGATATCGCAGTTAGTTTAAAGCCACTCATCGCAGGGAGCTCGACGGTCGTGGCGATAGTGAAGACAAATGCACAGTTTGGCGTGATATGTGGCGTGAGATACCACGAGTGATATAATTCGGGATGAATAATCTGGCAATCCGATCTCACTAAATAAATCGACAATCCTCATTGAATCGGATTCCCTTTTTTCATGCTGTAGAATTAACAACATCGCGGCGGACTTAGAACCATTTCATTTACCAGGTTTTCGTTTTCTCAGCTCCAAGCACTGGGCTAATCCAAACCCCACCAAAGCACCAAAAACCCGCATCTTCAAGACTTTTCGCCACTCCAACAACACGTCTCAACTCATCCCACTCTCTAGCATCATCCGCTGAGAACATTGAAATCAGCTCCAGTCATCATCATGGCTTCTCGATCTCCTCTTCCCCCATGGCTCCCCCCTCAGCTCACTCAATCCCCATCTCCAACGCTCCACGCTCTAAGCACGTCTCTCCTGCCGCATCTCTTCAGCGCAATTTCCCAAATCGGCGCCACCCTCCGAACTTCGCACCACGTCTCTCTCGTTGGATCCGCAAACTCTTTTGGTGACGATCAGCTCAATGTCGATGTCGCTTCCGAGAATCTCATGCGCGCTGCGCTTGCCAAGTGTCCTCTCGTGGTGAGAGCCAGTAGTGAGGAAGATCCCGAAGAGAAAGAGGTTCACCAAGGAGAAGCTTCCAGTGCTGTTTCTTCCGATGAAAGGCTTTCTGTGGCTTTTGATCCGCTCGATGGAAGCTCAATCATTGCTCCTAACTGGGCTGTGGGCACAATTGTGGGAATATGGAAAGGCGAGACGACGCTGGGGAAGAACCCGAGAGATCAGATCTGTTCCGTGTTGGGAGTTCATGGACCGCGTACAACTGTCATTGTAGCCATCAGGGAAGCAGATGCACCTCAAGGTTCTGCTTCTGCTGAGGGTGTCTGCTTTGAGCTGGGGCTTGGTGACAACGACAAAATTGAGCTTCTTAACCCCAACATTAAGCTCTCTTCGCCACCCTACAAAACCAGATATTTTGCTCCTGCAAACTTGCGTTTTGCGGCAGATTCACCTGCATACGCCTCTCTCATTTCATCTTTCATCACTAAAAAGTATACGCTTCGGTATTGCGGCGGCCTTGTCCCGGATCTGGGCCACATCCTCACCAAAGGCCATGGCGTCTACGTCAATCCTGTAGAGTCAGCGAGTAAGGCTAAGCTGAGGAGATTGTACGAGGTTCTCCCTATAGGCTTGGTGGTGGAATGTGCTGGAGGAAAGGCTGTGGATGAGGATGGAAAGGACGTTTTGGCCAAGGAGGTGCAAGGGTGTGACGAGAGAGGTGGTATCGTGTTTGGGAATACGGATGAGGTTGAAGAGGTGGTAAAAGTATTGATGGGATAATCTGGTTCCAAGAGGTGTCCTTTTTCGCATTGTAATCACAGAGAATAGAATGGGTATGATAGAATAGATAGAAGTGTCAATGGATTGGATATTAGGCCTGGTGCCATCGATCAGTTGGCTCGGAAACCACTTTCCAGATCGCGACTCCTCTTCTCGGAGGACTTCACAACCATGGGCAGGTTCAACCTTCACTCAGCCCTGTATTCTCTGAGCGATTCTCGATTTTCTAGATCAAAGTAAGCTCTTGTTACTCCTCTTTCATCGCCAACAGAGTTTGACATGGATAGCTCCGAAGTCCACCTAATATCGAGACAACTATATAAACACGCGATGGGACACGAGTCACAGACCACGACATGGACTTCGCCATCCAAGAGAAAAACAGCAGACCATCGCAGGACCACAACTGATACAGACACACTACCACCGGAAGTCTAGGGGACCTTAAGTGCCACAATATCAGATCCTAAGAAACGCAGAACCACATCCAGATCTTGCGACTTTACAATGGCTCAGCCGGTGCATTTCGGAAGACCGCCATCTGAGGAGGAGGCACGCCTCTACTACTATGGGCTACCATCACGCCCTCGACTCATCGCTCGGTCAGGTACACGTATGTGGGTGAACCCGCAAATGCCAGGGCCTATCACATTCCTGGGTACACAAAATATGTAGCCAAGAGTCCTCCAACCTGTTGGTAGGCACCCCCAATTACACCAGCAGTGGAACGACGGATCATCCTCCCTAAGGGCTCAGATTCTGAAGGCAGTGGATGGGATAAACTGGACCGCTCTCGATATTCTACGAGTTGGACTGGATGGAGAGTATACACTCAGGCTTATGATCGCGGTTCTTCCAGACTCACTGTCCTGGCGTGATGGGCATCCAATTGCTTTTAGTGTAAAGGAATATTCGAGTCTCATGGCATTCAGGGGGTGGAGTGCGAGATCCGAGAATCCGTTGTGAACCTCTGCACCAATGCAGGCCTTGAACCGGCGATGTCTGCCTCTGAAAGCCCCGATATCTCCGACACACCCCGTGATTCGAGGCGCCCAGCAGAAGGAATACTATTCCGAGACAAAGGTACTACATCATGGACGCTGGCTGTACTTGAAACTTGCAATTCAGAAGACTGACAATTGAAACCACCTATCTAGGCCGCTGCCGAAGAACTAGTCATCAAGGCCAACCGTCAAGAACCCTCCAGACTCCTCACCACGTCCATCCGGGTATCGTCCTGGTAGTATGGAGCTATCTGCCGAAGGCACCAACCCATTATTCCAACTTCAACTATCTTCGGGAGCAATATCAGAAGGAGATGCCATTTCTCCATCCACTACGTCTGTCTTCATCCACTACGTCTGTCTTCATCCACTACGTCTATCTCCATCTATTAAGTCTATCTCTATCTACTACGTTTATCTCTATCTACTACATCTATCTCCATCTACTATGTCTATCAGGCCGTCTCGAAACGAAGATTGCGACAATGGATAAACAACATATAGCTGGTACGGAAGGTATGTATCTCCGTGTCAAGCCGTCCTCTCCCTCAGGCGAGCATCAGCTACTAGCTCTGCCCTGCAGACACGTGGTCATTGACCAGGAAACAGAAGGCATACAAGAGTACGAAACTCGATTCGACTTTGGTGTCAGCGGTTCGCTATATTGATACCCCAGACGGCACTGAAAAAGTATCCAGTGAAGAATAGTCTATAATACCAGCGGAGAAGGCTAAATCGCAGACGCAAGCAGCTTTCTTGACGAAAGGAGATTCTGAGTCATGCGCCTGGAATTTGCGCCAGCGCCCAGCTGAGATATTATCATCGAGCGCAAGCATCAATGAACTGAACGATGTGGCGTACGCACAGCCGCTAGAGCGCCTGCTTAAGGATATTAGATCTTGTGGCTTTGAGGTTTCCTTAGTATAGAATCTCCTTATGAGAGATAATTTGATATATAAAAATACAGATACGTTGACTCGCAAGCTTTGGGCCTTCCTGGAACAGCTATTGGGGATATTGAACCTATATCGGTTGGCGAATTATAAAGGCAAACCCCACGACAAACAGAAACTTTACAAAATCATTTCGAATTCGGGGTCGCGATCGTCGCCAGAGCTAGCATACTGGTCGTATTTGCCCATCTTCTTGTCTCGGTTCATCTTGGCCAACCAGAGCAAATTGGCCAAGACACTATTATTAACCGTCAGTCATGCTTCCATACGTTCAGTGAATTCGTAGGAGAAGGAGTCACTCACGCAAACCACGCATAGCACAATAGCCCCAGAATGATGGAGTGTCCCTTGAGGTATATGGGCCCGTCCTTGTTTGGGTATACGAATGCTGTTGAAGTAACTCCTGCGTTAGCCACCAAATTCCACAAAGAAAGGGCCAGAATATTGACATACTTGCAACAAACCCTCCGCAATTCGCCACGGCTAGCTGAAGAGCTGATGTTGTTGCCCTCTTATAATGCCCAGCCGAATTGTTCGCGTTCCACACCAACACACACGGCACGGAGCTGTACATTCCCATGGCCATGAGACAAGTCATTCCGAAACGGACGCTGGCAGACTGGACGTGAGCAATCGTTGCGTAGCCGGCGATAGAGATGGGCAGCATGATGAGCATAGGAAGGCCTCGTAGCTTGATGCGGTCGGAAACCAGGGCAACGAAAACTGTTTGAAATCACGGTCAGCAGGCCAAAATCTCGGGGATAAAAGCAAAAGCATGTACGCACCAGTTATAGGAGTTGCTACAGCGTAGGGAATAACAGTCCACAACTGTACTTTGTTGGCGTTGGACGTAATCTTTAGATCGTTGACAATCGTAGGCAGCTTTACCTAGTTAGCACAAAACCTGCCGCCCTATAAAGGGGAGTTGAAAATAGGAGTCTACTTACAAAAAGACCAAAAGAGTAGACACCCGAAAGGAGGGCAAAATACGTTGTGGATGTGAGCCAGATCTGGACATTGAAGAGGCCGCGGCGAACCTCTGACCACTTGAACGTCTCCTCAGCTTCAATCGCTGGACTAAAGAGCATAATTATTAGTCTAGTCCTTGGATCATACGTAAAAGGGAGTGATATACTTGAAGCGCCCTCCATTGTCGCTTGCTAGTCGCTCAGCGGCAAAGTCTCGCTCTTCTGTTGAGAGGAACCCGGCGCTCGCAACTCCATTTGGCAATGCAACAAATGCAATCAACCCAGAGACAACCGTCTGGTTATTTGTTAGCAGTTGGTTCTGCCGATAACAATTTAAATCCGCGAAACGTCCAACTTACCAGCAAACCCTCAATGATAAAGATCCATCTCCAACCCTCCAGCCCGCCTCTTGGCCCAATCGCCGACAATCCTCTGGCCAAAAGGCCACCGAATGCCCCCGAAAGGCTCGCGCTAGTATAAAAAATCCCTATTCGAAGGGCTAATTCGCCTCGAGTGTACATGCTGGACAAGTACAACACGATGCCCGGGAACAGGCCGCCCTCGGCGATGCCCAACAGCGCTCTCACGGCAGCGAAACTGCCGAATGAGCGCACGAACCCCAAACACATGGTTATGATACCCCACGCGACAGTCAATGAGGGCAGCCAGATACGTGGGGACACTTTCTTCAGGACGAGGTTACTTGGAAGCTCGCTGTGACGGGGTGAATCAGCATTGGTGACTTTGGTGAGTGGAGAGAGAGATGGCAGACCAGGCAATGTATGTGGCGTAAAATACGGCCAGACCTTGTGAATACTGCTTGTCTGTGATGCCTAGATCAGCCTCGAGGCCGAGGATTTTGGCATTGCCGACGTTGGTCCTGTCGAGGAACGAGCAGAGCAGGAGAAGAGCCAGAACAGGCATGACCCTGTGATATTGTTGAGCATTGAGACGATTGCCAATAGTGAAAAAGAATACCATCAGTTGCAATGGCGGCAGCTGCTTCTGATTTCACATAACATGTCCAAGAGCCTACCTCGTGTCTATCTTGAACAGAACCCTCTTGGTCATAGCAGCTCTTCGCTGCGCATCCTGTCCATACTCCTCCCCATGCTCAAGCTCATTCTCCTTGTGCTTCTCATTGTCAAAGTCCGCCTTGTTATCCTGCGATGCCTTCATTGCGAAATAGATGGCCAGAACCAGACCGCCAGGACTGTTGTCGAAGAATAGAAGAAGAATTGGAATGGCGGGTGGAGTTGAACCTCGACCTTCCCCAGCTTACTGTACTTCTGCCTGCAGGGATTGATTATCCGCCCAATATTTGCCAGGGATCAAGGGCGGAGTAAAGCATACCGAGATGGATGAGACATTGATGCCCTCGAATCATTTGGAGGCGGCAGTTCAGTCTCTCCGTAACCGACCTCTGCAATTATGCGGTCCTGCATTACCCCGCATTAACCCTGTCAGTCACGTACAGGATTAGAAAAAGGGAGATTTTTGTCTTGAGTGCCGTTTGTTGGGGAACCTTGTCGGTGTGTATGAATGGGGAGGATTTCATGTAGATCTGGGTCAAGTTTGTTCAGCTCAATTGGCTGTGCCTAGGCCGGCTCGAAGGCGGGGGGGGGTAGCGAGGCAGTAGTTGGAGATGGACTCTGAAACTTTCGACCTTCATTCACTTGTGCGGTAACATGCAGTGGCGGTGAAGTATGCAGTCAACCGCACATAAGTGAACCGGCCATGGATTGCCTATATGTCCGCTCTCTGTGAGCTAGTTAATTTGCAATCACTCTTTCTGTCACTTCACTTACAGTGAGTGGGAATATTCGGAGAGAAACTAACAGCGGAGTTGAGTTCTTGATTGGGTTGATGGCCTGTTTATAATTAAGAGTACTATTATTTAAAATAAACAATATCTTTACAAAATAAATTTAATAAATTAGTATTAGTATAATTTAAAATGCACAGAGGCTTGTAGGGACTTCGGACACGGCCGTTTGCACAGGTTCTCCACTGTCCAACCTCCGGGCGGTGGGTCCCGATCATTAGTGTCGGACACATCAGACCCACAGAAATTTACCACCCGGCAAAAAAACCCGGGCGGTGACCCGAAGACTAGCTAACCCCCCCTTTTTCCTTCCTCCTCTTTCTCTCTTCTCTCTTCATCGCTTCTGCCCCTAATCGCGGCTGCTGTCTTCTTTGAAGGCTTTGCGACTGAGCTTTTCCCGCTTTCCAGCAGCTGATCATATATTTGATCAAGCAGTTGAGACACCAGTCTCGTCTCGATTCAATTGTTCAGAGACGTCGACGAGATTCACGACCCATTCCATTGAAAATTCTCACGACTGTTGGTAGACTTTCATTTCGACCCAACAGTTGTTTATACAGTCCGCTTTTGATCTGACTACTAACAAATTCAGCAGCCCCAGTACCAATTTATCCATCGACAAGGCAACCTTGGGCCATGACCGACAACAAACGGCCAGCCTCCGCGCAAGGGGGCGACAACGAGCAGAAGCGAATGAGACAAGACGAACCTCATGCTACTCATGGGCAACCAGGCCCATACCAGGCTCAGATCGAGGAGAATGATGTTCACAAGGCTAGTTCCGATGATAAGGAATCATCAGATGCGTCGACCAAGGTGTCCAATGATGAAAATTCAAGGAGGATTACCAAGGAACAGTGGTTAGCCGGATACCCAGTGCCGAAAACACAGCTTCCGGAAGGAATGACGATTAATGAAGATTTTCATGCTCCGAAAACGGTGGCTTTGAGCAAAATGGACCTTGCGAGCGCCGTCAAGAAATGGCAGGAGGGGCACAAAAACCGTCCTCGATATGCGCATTTGTTAAAATTTGAGAATGTGCAGAATAACAAAAAACTTATGGCGGGGTATCTTGGCTTCGATACCTTGCCAGAGTTGTTACATTTTGCTGATTTCATAGGTATGTGTTTCTCCTCAAGCAGTTCTGCATCAGGAAATCTCTGGATAGCATTTCATCAGCTCTAGGTTGCAATTAACACGAGTACAGTACCTCAAACCATCCACCCTTTGATTGAAATATATTCTCGACATCAGGAGAAAAGTACCGCAAAATTCCCCATGGCGATGAGTCTCTAGAGCAGATTCAAGGGCATTGACAGGGAAGGCCCGTGGTTGAAGCCGCTGCTGAACAACGGCTCCAAAAGATGCATCATTCTAAGACCTGAGGGAACCAAGGTGCTCATCACCAATCCAAAAGAGGTCCAGCTCAAGGACATCGACGCTATTTTGACATTGTTATGCGGGGCATATAAACTCATGACGGCAAACCCCAAGAGATTCTGTCAGAAGTCATCAGGAAACAGCGACGAGTTTACTTGGGGCTTCCATCATGAAGATTGGTTCCGCGCGTACGTCGCCATTTTTTTCACCAAGAGTCGTCGAAGCAAAACAACAGAAGTCCCAGAGCAAGGTCCAATGCGCTATGTGGGTGTTCGCGGGATAGCTGAAAAATCGGAAATATACGGTTATGCTACACTCGACGTGGTTTCATCAACCCAGACTTTGGAAGAAGGGTACTATTCCAGCGCTGCCGTGGAGATTACGAAAGAGATGGCCTTGTTGGACCCCGAACACAACAAAGAAGCAATGCAGAAACTAGAACAGCGTGCCTCGAATGAACAAATTGCGCGCGCTTTAGATGCCATCGACAGCATCGGAAAGAAACCCCAATCCACACGAGAGTCGCTTGTTGAAGATGATGACGGGATCCTTGAGGATATTATTTCTGATGAGGTTGCCAATACCCTGCATGCCACCGCCCCGGGTATCGATCTCCACCGAACTTTGATGTCTACTCTGCCAAAAGAACACCAGAGAGCGGAGATGACTGAAAAGGAGCGCCAATCGCTCATCGACCTGCTTCGACAAACATTACGTGAGTACAAGACAATATCGCCTCATCCGAACTTATCGCAAGGCGACCAATATCAGCTACAGATCATAACCACGGCTGGCGATATCACTAGTCTTGCCGATGAGAGCGAGACTATGGGCAGCGACAAAGATTTAGACTGCCAACTGGATTCACTCCGTGCTATGAGAGAGCTGCTGGGCGAAAACATTCCTGAAAATCAGGACTTGGAGCAGATTTGTGAAAGTCGAGGAATCGATCTTGCAACCTTGCAGGTAAACCCTCACAATCCAAGTGTCATTGCCAAAACCCCGCAGATTCCAGGTTCGTTTTCCACTCTTCCCTCCTGTCGTATTATTTACGCTAATGACCATTCTACAGATGCCCATAGACTTGCAGAACTTCTCTCCGGTAAGCTACGTTCTGCCATGCTACTCAGTGACTGCGGCACCGGAAAAACCTTTGTAACCCTCTTGACTCTGAAATTTCTACTCGATGAACGCATACAGGCTCATAAAAAAGGCGCTCTCGACCTCTTGGATGGTGATCGTGCATTCAAGCCGAACATCATCTTCGTGCCCTCCGCCACTCTCAGCCTATTTTTTTCCGAAGTCAATTCTTGCTGGGCAGGCATTTTTAACATTTACTCGTTCTACCAGTCGCGCTCGAATTGTGCAAATACTGATCGACAGACTAAGACCATTGATACCCTCCAAGACCTCCAAAAATATGTCGATCGATGGGCCAAGCAGCATCAAGATCCAGAGGTAAGTGCAAAGACCATTTCTTCACTCTTGATTCTAACCCCGTTGTGCCATAGACTGGCCGAGTCATCCTCCTCACTGCATACTCGACTGCGACCAGGCGTCTTCTCAAAAGACGCGCAGGCAAAGGCCTCACACGCGATCAAATGGATCTACTATCTTCTCAGGGAGACGCCATCGATTATGACAGACAAGACAAGGAGATAACAGCAATTTTCGAGGATCCACCAGAGTGCAATGATGGCGAGAAAGGAGCCCGACGGATTGGTAAATCGACAGTAGCATACATCAGAAGAAGCGAGAAAACCCTGACCAACGACATGTGGAACGTTGTTGTTTGCGACGAATGCCACCAAATCAAAAATCCTGGGACCAGGGCCAATGAATTAGTTCGCCAGCTTGACCGAGAAGCTTTGCTTCTCGTATCGGCCACACCGTTGCCTAATCACGTAAGAGATATCAGCGGCTATTTGCGAGTACTTTGGGACCCAGCTTGGCCGTTTGGCTACCAACAGAAAGGTGACGCTACGAATGCCAATGCTTTCTTTGGAGATTTAGTATATGACAGCCTCTTTGACGAGTCCATCAAACTTGAAGTTGGAGAGCCTCTGACACTGAATCGTGTTCTCCATGGCAGAGTCAAAACGACATCCCAGCTATCGCCAAGAGAACTCCGTCGAACCATGGAGTGCAAGTCGTTTGTGGAAGATCAGAATGGTCCAGCGTATCTTTTGAACCCCAATCTCTTCATGGAGTTCGCCAAGAACAAGGAGTATGGGACATGCGTCTCAACATTAGCTGTTGGCCCAATTCTTAAGCTCCTCTCAGTCCGACGAGGTATGCTTACAATGATGACACTACCAAATGGTGACGTAACGTTTATGGGCAAGGGCATCGCCGGATTCAAAACAGAAACTGTGGAATTGGAGCACTCGGCAGAGGTCAAGGCTAAGCTCGCTGCACATATCAACATCTTGGCGGACAAATTAATGACTCCAACAGAAGCGGGTCCTTCTGAAGTGCTTGCGGGAGGTTATGTCCTTGAACGAGCTGGAATAATATTTAACGGTGCAGTATATCGCCGTTTGTCATTAGCTTCTACTGACGTCAACAACATCAAACTCACAACTCCCTCAATACGACTCTTGCAGCGGCTATCTGATCTTCGGCAAGGCACTGTTGGCGAAGTACCCCAGAGGTTGTCGACTACCACACTATTCAATACCGCTGGTGTTGCCCAAAATCTAGCTGACGACTTAGAAGCCAGGATTAACACTTTGGGAATCGATGAGTCCGGCCTTCCAGAATACCAGAGACGGAAGAAAGCTCGGAACGCACGTTCAAAACCAAGTCTTGCTGCAGGACGCGAAGAAGTTGATCAAGTTGCCCTTTTTGATACTACAGGTGGTCTCCAGTGGAACTTCTACAACACCCGTGAGAGCCAAAAGCTTGGGTTTCCGCCTGATCGAGTCAATCAGGTGAGATATGTCGCTTGGGACTCTCCCAAGTATATATATACGGTTCTTGAGGCACTGGATGCACAAACCAAAGGCGAGCGCTTGTTGGTATACACAAACAACCCTTTAACATCCCAGTAAGTTATCCATCCCGTTATTATATCGATTAATCCCAGGTTTTTTTGAACAGTTGTTGGCCTTCTCTCCTGCCCCCACATTTTCCCACTGAGTGACAGATTGACTAACACTTGCAAAAATAGAATGGTGAATGCTTTGCTCGTGGCTGCAGGTGTCCCTACCCTTCACTACATGAGCCGAAACTCCCAAACAGAGCGCGACAAAGCCGTTGAAGCTTTTAATGATCCAGCTACACCTTACAGCTGCTTAGTGACATCGCTGCAACTCTCAGCCTTCGGCGTGAATCTCCACAAGGCGTGTCATCGCGGCTTGATTCTGGAGCAACCAATCAGCCAAGCAATCCTTCTCCAAGCTCAAGGTCGACTCTGGCGTATCGGACAAAAGCATGATGTCCATTGGAAAATCCTCTACTCCAGAGACTCCTTCGACTGCTATATCGAGTCGCATAATCTTGAAAAGTACGCTACAACTCTTGCGGCTGAGAGTGGCATTGATCCCAGGATCAAAGGCGAAGCAAGGGTCATATGCGCATTCGAAATCATGCGACAGCATTTGGGTCAGTCTTGCTCCAGGTATAGCCGGGCTCGTGTGGTATGGAGTCAGATGGACAGCCCTAAGCTAGAACACGAAGGTCTCTTCTATTCTGAACTTGCACAGTACTTTTTCAACCACCCTGACAAGTCTGACTTGGTCGGGAAACATAACATCAAGGAGATCGCCAAAGCATGGAAAATCGGCCATGAGATCACCTCAAGTATGGTTGAATCTCCAATTCCTCTAGAAGATGGATTGGTTCTGGAAAGCTACGAAGAAGCAGACGATGAGGATACTGCTCTTGGAAAGACCACTTCGCGAAAGGAAAAGGGTGAAAGGCATGGCAAAGAGGCACTCACCAAGAAAGCAAGGGAAGTAAAGCTATATTAGCAAGACGTTTGGGACTGAGATTTATGTATGATTTCGCGATCCGCTACGATGTTGTAGTACCAACACATAAAAGGGGTGGCTTTGGCAGTGGGGGAAATCTGGCTTGGCCCGATGTCAGCAAAAAAGCTCATCTGAGGCACGCCTAGTAGGATAACTGTTGTGTCGATAAGACGTCTTGGTTTGTGATATCCTTGGCTTCTTTCATAGATCTAGCTAGAGTCGGCAACAAATGTAATAAGAATATAATGTACAGAATATCAGGCTTGATGACCGCAGAGATAAAAGACTCATACTAGGTACGTCACGTCCCATCAAACAACTTCAAACATCTCATCGTATAATCTGCCCTCGTCAAGCATCTCTATCGCCTCCCCATTCATGAATCCATGTATATAACACTCTCCAACAAGTAAATAACGGTGAGAGTCCAGACAGGGCCGCAGACAAAACGGCATCTTCCCACCAAAGAGCACGCAAATAATGTCGCCCTCCTCCATGAGTTGCGGTCCCATCACGTAGTATCCCCTGGTCGTTCGGGCAAAGCTTCGATTGCTCGAGGCGCCAGTTGCTGCACGGCTCCATTTCAGCGCATCTCCTTTCTCGGCCAGGCGATGCAGCTCGGTGGAGATGATCGCCTTGTCTACCGCGCTGGTGAGATACGCGGCGCTATGTCCAAGCCATTCTTCATGACTGATGGCGCTGTAGCTCTCGGCGGCGTGATCTTGCCAGTAAATTGCCATGCAGCCGTTGCTCAGTGTCTGGACGTAGGCGAAGAAGCTGCTGTCTTTGCTGTCGACGTATTTATCGTCGAGACCGAAGCCGTTTGTGTTGCCGCAGATGTCCATCCAAAGAGACTCGATTGCGACCCGCCTAGTGTTTCCTTGGTCAGTTTTCCTCTCGTGAAACGCTCCCTTTTCTAGTGGAGCAGAGCAGTTCTGGATCGAGTCGATCCTGATGCCACGAATACTGAGTACCTCTGGGATTGATGTGCTGATGTGAAGATCCGGCTTCTTTGAGCCGCAAGCGCGGTGCTGGCTAGTAGGTTCAGACATTATATGTCCATGACGAGCCCGCCAGTCCGGTGTCCAGGATGGCAGTGGCAGTTTGCGCTCTTGCGTCCGTGAAGCTTCAGTTGAGGAGAAGAGGTTCATGTGCTGGACAGCCCCCAGAGTAATAAGAGATTCATTATCTCCGGTCAGGGCCCTCACAGCAACGTCGATGTAGACTTCCTCGACTGATTTCATGTAGTCCGCCTTCATCTCCTTCAATTTGCTGTTCTTCCCCTTGCGAATAGAGTAGTGACCCAGCATGGCAAACACCCGATCCCGAGGATCCGTGACCTGCAAGTGTCCTGCTCGATGGAGTTCATAGATGAAGCTAAACCGATTGTCGTGCCGACTGGGGGCCTCGGGTTCGATGAAGCGGCGATAGAGATATTTGATGGTTGACGTCGCCACCTTGAACTTTACCCTTATATGATGGTATTCTGCAAGCTCCTCGCACACCTCATGCAGTGTTTTCCATTGCATTTCTGCTTCTCCCCAGTGCAGGGTTGCGGGAGCTCTGGTACCGATCTCTTGAACAATCCAGCCGCGTAGAAACTAACAATAGCAATCTCAGCGCCGATATCCCGAACATGAATTAAAGAATCTCGTGCTAAAACGACTTACCCACGGGAGAGCTGTTATGTGTTTTAGAGGCATCCAGTAATCGACTGCTTGTTCGGACAAATTGTCTACATGACGAGCGGCATGTTCACTGTTGTTGACGAGCAGCTCGGCTAGCCTTCGTACAAAGTCAAAGGCCTTTTTCGCCAGATTATGCTCATCAAGGCCAAGCCAAACCTGCACATGGCTTCCATTCCTGTAAATTTGGTTCATAAACTGCACCTGCTGCGACCTCTCTTCCTTGTTGAGCTGATCAATGCAAATCTGATCGGCCCACACGCGTCGTGATCCCGTCCGCCTTCTGAGTCGTCTCAAGGCATTGTACAGACTAGCTGTAAGCCTGAGCCGTGCAGTGGGCAGAAATATCTCGTGCGTGAGATTCCCGTCGCCCCAGACGTACGAGAGAGGCTCATAGACACCGGCATCGTCAACGACAACAGACTCGAGAGATCCCCTTAGCGGGTCCTCGGGATTCCCACCGAATAGCGTCAATACCCTAATCGTCCTGTCGGGCAAGGGAGTGTAGCTGTAAGCACGTGGACCGGCTTCAGAGACTAGATCGCCCATCCTCCCGATATCAAAAAGTCTGGGGGAGACAATGCTAGTCCAACCGGGAATAAAGATTTAAATTGCGTTGCAGAAGTCCTTTTAACTTGTGCCTAAAGTATTGATTGATCCATCTAATAACATCTCGGTTCCCGCGTTTGTCGGCCCGGTCGGGCACCAACCGTTAGACTAATGCACGCATGTGCCTGTGGTTTGTCTGTATCATCAACACTAACGGCATTCAATTCGTGACGCAGCTGTCATGCATGTTGGCCCAATAGGACGGCGACAACAAGTCAAATTTCATGTACTTCACCGAAGCTTTTCTATCATAGGCCATTCTCCTCGTGTCTCTTTGTCTTGTGACCCGTCTGGCATTTGTCAACAGCCATGTGTATCAGCCCAATGAGGAGGCAACGGCAAGCCTCATTATAACCGAGCCAAAAGTGCTACATCTAACCACTAAGATGTGTTCAATTTATCATGTCCAGTCAATGGTTCTGCCGAGAGATCCGTACTACACAACAAGTGGGAAAACAACCGAATCAGAAACATATTTAAGAGTGTGACCTTCGAAGATTTTAATTGAAATCTGAGAAGGTACTCTATCTCTCAGTACATATCCCGTATCTATACACCAATACCATCAGTCCAAGATCCAGACCAAACAACCTCCACCCATCAAAGTACTGTGACAAATGGGCCCCGCCATGTCCAAAGAGGACAAACTAGATGAGCTCCTCAAGGAACTCAACGGAGTCTACGATCGCGAAGTTAGCCATTACCGACAATGCTTGAGCGCCGTGGCAGAGGACCTCAATCACGTCCTCGCTCAGGACAACATCCGGCATCTCCCAATAGCCGCTCGAGTCAAGAGCTGGGACTCCATCAATGGCACTGCGCGGCGCCGACAGAAAGATCGCCTAGCCGCCCAAGAGATTCAAGGCAAAATGATTGAGCAGAAGGAGAACTGGGAGGTTCAATTTGATAGATACAAGATGGACAAGGAGGAGATTGGTTATTTCAAAACTGTGAATGAGCTCGAGCTTGGCTTCCACGACATGCTTGGCGCGCGGATCGTGCTGTATTTCCCTAGCGACACAAAGAGGGTCCTCAAACTTTTAAAGGATGCAGGCTATGAAAACGGCAAGGATCCTAAGAAAATGGGAGGTCCGGCAAATATGAGGATCCTGCGAAAGCTTCACGCGAAATGGCTGGATGCGTCCGCGCCCGCGCCCGCGGCTCCGAAAAAGAAGGAGCCAGACGACGATCTCGACACTGACGGCTTAGAGAAGCAGTTCTCTGGATACGGTGCTATACACCTGGCTCTCAAGATACCCAAGCGATTAATGCCGCGAGATCTGACAGAGACAGAGAAAGAGATCTGGGAAAAGAAGGTGGTTGAAATCCAAGTCGGCACTGTCATCATGCATGCCTGGGCCGAGGTCGAGCACGACATCACCTACAAAACCCACGGAAGAGAGGTGACACAGGACGAAAAGGCTGTTTTAGATATCCTCAACGGCCTCGCCATTGCCAGCGAGGTAGGCCTGCGCCGCTTCCGATCACCGCCGTCCTCGTCGTCTGCTGCTGCAGAGGATGTCGAAGAACTGCAAGGTTGGATGCATCAGTTCTACATTACCAAGAATCGCGACATGCCAGATGAGTGGCTTGACCTGGATCAGCTTTGGGACTTTCTGATTAAGCGCAACCATAACCAGCGAGATAAATTCCTGCATTACGCCGAGGTCGCCTGGAATATTCTATTGGTGCACGAGAAAAAAGAAGGCATCGACCTCGATCACGTCTTCCCCTTCATCATGATGCATCATCATGTGCCGGTTCTTGTACTTGAACAAGGCCGTCGCATCAAGGCAGAGAAGGAGGCTGCTGAGAAGAAAGCTGCAGAGGAGGAGGAGGAGGCCGACTCGGAGCGTGGCGCGTCGAGCCCGACAGATGTGAAAAAGAAGAAGGGAAAACACAAACACCCGTTGACAAGGGCAGATAATAGAAAAATAGTGCACCTACTCGAGAAAGCTAACGACCAAGATCTCGAAGAAATTGCGAAACTTTTGAGACAGTTCAAGATGGCGGCAGGTAGTAAGAGAGATCAATCAGAAGGAGAAGTAAGTTCCCTTTCCTTTTCTTCTTTATTAGCTCAAGCTGTGCGAATGTGAATGGCTAACGGGCGTTGAAACAGGAGTACCTGGGAGTCATCAGTCTAAAGGAGTGCGAATCCCGTATTGCTGCAGATCCGAAGTGGCTGGACAAGGTCCGAAGGCGTTACGACGAGTGGATTTTGGAGGAAATCCCGCCTCATGGTCGTTGGGCGACGTTTTATGCGGAGTCAACCGAGCTTGGTTTCCCGATGAGGACTGTCCAGCGGATGAGTCAAGATGATTTGTCGAGGAAGAGCCGGGGTGAACAGTTTAGTGACTGGATCAATATGCGATGGGGTCGATTGGGGCTTACGTTGGAATACATGGCGCCGGGCATTAGTATGATGTTGGTTTTGAAGCATTACGGGATGTTTTGACCAAGTGTCTGAGTTTATCGTCTGTAAGTCGCCCATGTAAGGGAAGACTAACAGGTGGCGATATGCTGGTACAGCGGGTAGCTCTGGAAAGGAGCAAGTCCTGCTATGAGAGTAAAATAGTTAGCAAAATACTTAAATGATTGGTGTTACTAATGAACCGGAACTGAAACTGGAACAAGTCATTTCTTGATACTTGAGGAACGCATCTTTGAAGTAGCCCGACTTATACCAAACGCAACACCAGAGACCGACCAATGTAAAGACCACGGAGTCTGTGCTGAATAGACTTCAGGAGAATAAACTCGGATACAGTTGGGTTCAAAATGAGTGCCCCCCTTTTCCATTGTAAAGCTTCTCTCCTCACGCACAAACGTTGTGGAACTGTGGCTAGTACAGTGCGATGCTCTTCTGCTGTTTCAGTACAGTCCTGATTGTGAGTTTTTGGATAAGTGTCTCCTGAGGTTTTTACCCTTGACATGCCTGTATATTTTTAGCCTTTCAAGCCTACACATTTTTTTCTTACCATACTAGTATGTATTACGGTTCCTAGAAACAGTTATTCTTTATTCCAGTTTGTCCTTGGTCGAGTGGCGGTCGCTCAACCAATCTGATTAGCTGCATTATAGAAGCGGTTATTACGTGCCACCTTCCTTGCCGATTATATGTCGAGGAAGGGGGACCACAAAAATGGGGACCATAAAATGAATAAGTGTATACATGGATCATAAGAGTATTTGCGAGGTGTGTAGCATAGTGTAGCGCAGTAGAGATATGCGTACTGTGTCTGTCTGTATGCTGAGCAGTCCTTAGCACCCGTTTTTCTGATCACCAGTTGGTAGAGTCGCCGCAATATAGAAACACAATCGGTTTTATTTTTAACTAGTCCTAATCTATAGAAAACCTCATTACTAGTACTCGACCTGATATACACCCAATGGTAACTGTAGTCCCAAACACAGCTGATACATTTGGTCGATACTCGGGGGGCAACCAAATCAGGGGCTTATTATCTTTCATGATCCATGTTTCATCAGAGCTTATACTATAGTGATGAAAGTCTATATCTGCTGATAATACTTCAGGCGGTGTCTTTATAATAGATGCGCTAATTTTTAAGACTCCAGAATCAGTAATAAGATGCGAGTCATCTGTTGCGTCGAACGCTATGGCTCCACGAGACCAAGTATCATGAAAAGTCTGAAGACAAATACCTGAGCTTACATCCCAGATTTCAATTGTTCCATCGGATGAAACTGTGGCAAGCAGCTGACTACTGGGTGAGAAGACAGTTAAGCCCTCCTGTAAACGACTATAGATCTCAAGGATCCGCAGACAGGCACCTGACTTTGTATCCCAAACCCTAACTGTATCATCAGATGAGTCTGAGGCAAGCAGCTGGCCATTAGGCGAGAAGATAATTGAAGATACGTCATCCTCATGGCCTTCTTGAGTTTGCAGATGGTCCTCTGACTTTACATCCCAAATTCTGACTGTATTATCGTCTGAACCTGAGGCGAGCTGCTGGCCATTAAGTGAGAAAACAACTGAGTTTATCGAGAGATTATGGCCCTTAAATTTCCGCAGACAGTGGCTTGACGCTATATCCCAGACTCTGACTATACCATCATCTGAGCCGGAGGCGACTTGACCATCAGGTAAAAAGACAACTGAGTTTACCGGGTTTTCATAATCTTCAATGGTCTGCAAACAGACACCTGAATCTATATCCCAGACCCTAATTGTACTGTCAGATGAACCTGAGATAAGTCGATGGCCATTAGGGTAGAAGATAACTGAATTGATTGAGTTATCATGGCCCTCAAGAGTATGCAGACAGGCGCCTGAATTTATATCCCAGATCTTGATTGTTTCATCAGATGAGCCTGAAGCAAGCAGTTGGTTATTAGGTGAGAAGACAACTGATAATACTGGTTTCGTATGGCCTTGAAAAGTCTGCAGATAGGTAGACTTCATATCCCAAACTTTGACTATACCATCGAATAAACCAAAAGCAAGTCGTTGACCATTCATTGAGAAAATGACTGAATATACCTCGTAATCAAAGCTTTTAGAGGTCTGTAAATAAAAAGAGCTTTCCTTTACATCCCAGACTTTAATAACACCATCTGATAAACCTGAGGCAAGTTGCTGGCCATCAGGCGAGAAGACAATTGATAATACTGAGTTATAGCACTCAAGGGTCTGACAAGAACCTGAGTTTACATCCCAAATTTTAATTGTCCCATCGGATGAACCTGAAGCAAGCCGTTGGCCATCAGGTGAGAAGATAATTGACTGAACCGAGTTGCTATGATCCTCAAGGGTCTGTAGACAGGCATCCCAGACTGCTTCAACAGCTGGCTTTAATTGCATCTATGGCGGCTCTTTATCCTTGAATATGTTTCGTATTTCACTCTGGAGAGGGCTAAAGATAAGAGCAGATACGTATACTTGGAGGGGCGTAGATTCAATCCCCCGTTTATGCCGAAATATAAATCGTCTGGCATCTTGTACCAAACTTGAAACTCGGCTTCGGGGCGTTTGCTCCTGCTCTAGTTAGTATACGTATATAGTTCATTAAATTAGGTGTAAACTAACCTGAAGGAGGTCTGTAAGCCTTGCTATTGCAGAAACACCTTCTAACATACAGTGTAGAAGACTTAACGCCTCTAGCCAGTGTAGAAAATGACGGCGCAGGAACATATCAACTAAGCCTCCTACTTAAAGAGCATCTTTTATATTATGACCAATATTGCCGTCACAGAGGTAGTTAATCCAGTAGACGCATGAGTGCTGTACCGCGATTAGTGGATCTGGATTATACTGTTGGATTTGGTTGACGTAATATCCAGGAGTGCCTAAGCAGTATATATTACGTTGTAATGTGTTATGTATAGGTTGGAGCGATTAAGAGAAAATAATATAATGAATATTGCTCTGGCTAAAAGCGGAGATAGTAGACTAGACCTTGTCTGTAGTTAAGTATTCTTTTGCTGATTGATGTACGAAATAGATTATATTGTTACAGATAGTAAAAAATGAACCGCAGAGACGTATTAATTCTGTAAATGACGAGATGTCTTCTGTATACTCCTTAGGCCATTAAATAAGAGAATGAAGTTTATGTAAGGTAACTGGCCGGTAAACAGTCGATACTATAGTGAGAAATTACTTGCAAAGAGACACATCTTTATCGTCTAACGATTTAGGTATCTCGTCTAGCATCCTCTTATAAAGAGAATCAAGACCTTGTGGATAAGACTTAAGCTCCTTGAGTACCCTCCTGCTTCTGTAATTATTAAGACTCTAGCACACCAAGGCAACCTAAAGAAATGTATTATCGGCTTAAGAAACTAATGTTTTTTCGATAGTTTCCCGTATGATATCCTTATATCCGTGCTTTTGCGCCAAAAGATCTACCTTGTAATGGATATAATTTTGAACAGCGGCAGAGATGGAATGTTCATTTAACTCAAGGCAAAGTCTAATACTCTGCTTAAAATTTTGAAGTTCAACCTCGATGCTGGGCCAATTGCGACTTGACATAATCCACTTAGCGTAAGAAGTCGAGGAAATCTCCCTGATAAGGTGAAGAAGGCTTAGAAGTCCCTCTGTGCACTCATCGAGAGCGTCGATAAGCAAGACTACATCTTTAAGACTAGGATCATTAAGTATTGACTTTAATATCTTGGATAGAGCTGTCCAGGTATTCCTATCTTTGAACAGCTGTTTGCCTGCGCGATCGTACTTCTCTTGTACGTGAGATAAGAGAGAGGGTTGTTGAATAACAAGGCTGTAGATAAGGCCCCGCAGCACAGCCGTCGCACTTCGCAGTCCTGTTTCAGTTGCCTGGCAAAAGAAGTATGATAGGCGATATGTATTTAACTTCTCTAGTTCGTTGATAATACTACATAAAAGCATAGTCTTTCCTTTGCCAGGGTCTCCTTTAATCTAGAGTAGCCGATACTGTGGATTATTCAGCTACGTCTGAAAGTCGGTATGTTCTAATATCCAGCAGTATGAGTCCTTAAGCAGATTGCCTTTGGTTTCCTCAATACGCGTTTTGTCATCGCGGGGATCGGTGGTTCGTAAATCTACTAGGCAAGGGTCCGCCTGACTAGGCGCGTAGCTGTCGTGATTGTGGATATCGCCTTGATGGATTCTAACATTATTGCCAAAAGTATTGTTCGTGATATCGTAGGAATGTGGCGTTGTTGAATTCATTATAGTTGGAAGATTCCGAAAGCTATAATGTCAAGTCGTTTGTGGCTTTAGTAGGGACGAGGCATTGAGTGCAGACTTGAGAAATATATAACGACAGCAGCGAGCTTAACCCCTCATCTTATAAAGATACCTTATGGTCATGTGACTGCCTCGATACTGTTTCCTCATAAAGAGATACTTGAATTAAGCAGGTAATCCGATTTTGTGTTTGATCAATTATACTAGAAGCAAGACACAATTGCACGATAATAACAGAATAATATGAATATAATTACTGAGGATAAAATAAGCTGATGACACTTGTTTTATTTGGCTGTGCTAGCGTGTATCGTGGCCCGTTTCTCTGTTTCAGGAATAATTCATTACTCCGGTATTATGAACTGAGTTTTGCACGTTGATATAGTCACTGAGAGTGGCGCCTGTTTGCCAAACTTATTTCAAAGTACTTGAATATCCCGTGTCGATAATAGTAGCTTGCTTAACCAGCTCCACGTGCAATCATCATATAATGATATTGCTTCGGCCGAGTGAGAGACCAGCTCCCCGTTGGCACGGGACAGTGCTATGTTGACATACCTATGTTCCCCAGTTAGGTACTTTCCCCCGAGTATCGTGCGGTCACTGCAGCTGCATAACACCTGCTTAGACTATTTCGGCGGGCAGTTTTTATCGAATTACACGGGCTATTAATGAGTTTTGCTGCAACGCCGCAGGTTATAGAGTCATTATACCTGCTGGTGATTAAAAAAGAGCCTGTTCTTGCGCTTCTTTGTGGCATGAACTGGCCAATTGATTGAGGCTTAAATGATGACATATTGATGACAAGGTATCAATTATCAATACCTAACGTCACAAGTAAAGATCAAATTCCGGCTCTTGATTCGGATGGCATTTATCCTGAGGGTACGGAGTACGACGGGATTAAAAGCTGCGCACGGTATCAGCCATAGTACACCAGAGACACGGTCCATGCAGTGATAAATCTCACATTGACAAACATGGACACTCGATTCGATTGCTACTGTACTTATCTCGGTTTCAATTGTACTTAAAGAGGCCTCCTGATTGTATTCAAGTATGCGCCGGACTGTTTTAGCTAATGTAGTTTGCCTTTATGATCTACAAGCGACCGACTGACGCCATAGCATCTGTGCGCTCTTTAGCCTTCAAGGAGACTCACAACCAACAGGGCGCAGCTCGTGAGCGTTGTGCAGTCCAATTACCACAAAGCTGAGACGAGGACTAGTAACCACTAGCTGGTAGGTAGGTTAAACACCGCCATCTTCCGCGGATATTCCATCCCATGCACGCATTCAAGAGGTGGAGCTGTGCAGGACATCCGTGGAGATTGGACTGGCGAGCAGATAAGAATGCTTACATACGCATGTCATGTTATTATGGGATACAAAGCCACACAGCTGTACAAAGCGAAAACACGGGGTCCCCGTGTTAATGCAAGTGTTTCTTCAAGACGAATGTGGAGATATGGGGCGGCATGGGGTGGCGATGTTTTGCGGCGAAAGGGTCAGGTACCCTAATTATGTACTTAGGGTTAAGGAGGAGTTCGCCTAGGTATGAAAGTAAATAGAAAAAGTATGGCTGTCCAACATGAAACGTGAAGATGGATGTTTGCTACCGTTAAGACCGTCAAAATAGTATTGAGTCTCTCTTAACCAACAGTCGACGACCAACAACAAACCAACAAAACCAGCAGCGACTGCACAATACCAGTGACATACAACTTCTACGCCACTTCAACCCATGATTTCACACAATTATTATTTTTTCTAGAATCCCAAAAGTAGACTCCGATAGCGTTTCCATTTTCTCGCACATTCCAAATTTTAATTCGCCTCCTTTTTTTGCTTAGGTACGTCATAAGCTCCGGCAACTCGCTCGGTCCACCACGGTAGCTTCCGGCTGGCCGGCCGACATGGGGCAAAATCCGAATGATTTCCGTTTTTGGAACATTGACATTGCCGAACCGAACAAGATATAAAGAAATGCCGGCCACAAAGCTTTGTCGTTGGTTGTTGGATCGATGAGATTGTTTCTTAGCTAGTAATTAAATCACATTCTTTCCATTTTCATTGTCTCTTTTATCATCTATTAGTCGAAACATCAGGAGCTCATAACTCTCTCTTGCTCCTCTCACAGTAACCGGAGTTTTATTTTTTTCACTGTCCTGCTTAATTTTAGCTCCCTGCACAATGGCGACGCTAATTCGGCCAATGCATCCGAAACTCTTCCTCCCCAGAGCCTCAACGAGACGATCCTTCATCAAGCCCGTCTCTGCGCAGCTCTTCCAAGCCTCAAGAACTGGCCCCTCGACAAGGCGACTTCTTTCGACGACTTCGATCCGCCTGTCTCAGGCTCAGACGCAAGTCCGACCAAAGTCAAAGGTGTACGAGAACGCCGATGTCGCTGTGGCGGATGTGAAAAGTGGATCGACGGTTCTCAGCTCTGGATTCGGCTTGTGTGGTATTGCAGGTATGTGGTTGTGTGACTTCAATTTGTACAAGTCCATCCATTGAGATGATCTCGTGATTCCACGTGCCCACTCTATGGCGAGACAAATTGATTAAAATAACGTGATATGGGTATGATGGACTAACAATCTGCCTTTTTCGCAATTAGAAACCCTCATTCAAGCGCTGCATCGACGAGGCCGCGAATCGCTGCATTCCCTTACAGCCGTCTCCAACAATGCCGGTCTCGAAGGACGTGGTGGACTCTCCAGCCTAACGGAGTCTGGGCAGATCAGCAACCTTATTCTGTCGTATACGGGAGGCAACAAGGTGCTCGAGAAGGGATACATTGATGGCCAGCTAGCCGTCGAGCTTTGTCCTCAAGGAACGCTCGCGGAGCGCTTGAGAGCGGCTGGAGCAGGCATTCCCGCGTTTTACACCCCCACAGGAGCTCGTAAGCTTGTCCCTTCGAGATTCTATCCCATTTGCATTTAATACGCAAATTACGCTGTATAATTGAGCTCTTAAAACTAACCCATGACCACACAGACACCCTCCTTCAAGATGGCGAGATCCCCGTCCGCAACAACCCCAACGGCGGCGCTCCCCTCGAGAAGGGCCACCGACGAGAAACCCGCGACTTCAACGGCAAGCTCTACCTGATGGAAACCGCCCTGCCCGGCGACGTCGCCATCATCCGCGCCTGGAAGGCCGACACGGCCGGCAACTGCGTCTTCCGCCGCACGACCCGCGCATTCGGGCCCCTCATGGCCAAGGCAGCCAAACTCACCATCGTCGAAGCCGAGAACATCGTCCCTGTTGGTGAAATCGATCCTGACGACGTGCATCTGCCCGGAATCTTCGTGGACAGAGTCGTCAAGGCGACGGTTGAGAAGCAGGTTGAGACGCTTAAGCTGAGGGAACCCGAGGGCGAGGCAGAGGCCACCGGGAATGGCAAGCTGGAGCGTAAGAGACGCATTGCTAAGAGAGCGTCCAAGGAGCTCAAGGAGGGATACTATGTCAATTTGGGAGTTGGCATTCCTACCATGTCGGCCAACTTTATCCCCAAGGAGAGAACGGTGTGGCTGCAGAGCGAGAATGGACTGCTGGGTATGGGCCCTCATCCTACGCTGGAGGAAGTTGATCCGTAAGTTTACCTTTTCTTTACTTGGTAATAAGATGAAGAGTATCAGTTGCTAATGGCTTATTCTTTAGCGATCTTGTCAATGCCGGCAAGCAGACCGTTACCTTTGTCCCCGGCGCCTCAACCTTTGACTCTTCCGAGTCCTTTGGCATGATCCGCGGCGGCCACGTCGATGTTTCCATCCTCGGCGTAAGTACACATACAATCCATTTCTAACGACAACCACAAAAACTAACAACTCTCCACAGGCCCTCCAAGTCAGTGCTGCCGGCGACCTCGCCAACTTCATGATCCCAGGCAAGCTCTTCAAGGGCATGGGCGGCGCAATGGACCTCGTCGCCAACCCCGAAGCCACAAAGGTCATTGTCGCAACGGAGCATCTCTGCAAGGACGGATCGTCCAAGATTGTACAGCAGTGCAGCTTGCCACTGACTGGCGCGCGATGCGTGAGCACCATCATTACAGACTTGGTATGTTATCCTCAAATGATGAGAGACGTATAAAATGCTAATATTCTGCGTGATAGTGTGTCTTCCAGGTAGACCGCGAAAAGGGCACCTTGACGCTCACCGAGCTGGCACCAGGTGTCACCGTCGACGAGGTGAAGAGCAAGACGGACGCGACTTTTGCAGTTGCGGATGAGATTGTGACTATGGAATAAGCTGTGAAAATGGGAAATAATTGTAGGGGGGAGGATATACCCGCCAGCACAAGCATGGAGTTTTTATTTTGGATGAATCGGTGTTTGACCGTCCTGAGGATATAGGGCACATGGTTGGGATTATAGTATTTCGGCGTGGGCGATGTAAAGTACAAGAGGAAGAGAGACGTATAGATGTTCTTTAGACATAAAGCATCAACGTACATGTATATAAAAAGACAAAGCAATTTATATATGCTAGAAGGTATTAGAAAACCCGCACCTGGCCTGCTTTTATATGATGGCATCCAGATTCCATTTGCCCGTCTATGCATATATGTATATACTCATCATAACAATTACAATCATGTACTCTAATCCTCACAATCACAGCTTTGCCGCAAAGTTGCTTCCTCCCAATCCCTCCACGATTCTATCCACCGTCTTCAACATCCATTCCCCTCCCTCATCCCCAGCCAACCACCTCACACCCTCCTCACTCTCCCTCTCCTCCTCTCCCCCCTCCTCCACCACTAAATCATCCCTAAACGAGCCATCATCAATTGCCTTCCTCAACCCAAACACATGCGAAAGCACCTGCAGCCCAACCCCCGTCTGCGCCCTCAAGCTCGCCACCGCCACAAGGCTCGTCATAACCCTCCCCACGCCTCTCCTCCCATCAGGATCACTCAATAGCGGTCCATAATGGCAGTTTAGAATCACCACAGGCAGATCCGGATGCGACGTCCCCAACTTATCGACCAGTTTATCTTCAAACGGCGCGTAGATCGAGTCCCACAGGCCTCTGCCTCTGGCTTTGACGGCCTCGACATTGTCGGCTTTCAGCGTCCTCGAGGGCTCTGTGGTTAGCTTGGAGGTTATGTCGCGAGGCAGCGACGCGTGGAAGGCGTTGAGGCAGTTGATGGTGCGAGGGATGCCGTTGAAGGAGATGCATTTGAGCCCAACTTCGCGGATGAACTCGGCGGTGCGCACTTGGGCTGTCTGTGAGCCTCCTCTCTCAGCTGCGGCAATGCTGTGGAGGATGGAGAGCGCATCAGGCGAGTTGAGGGTGAATGTTGCAGCGGCCTATTTCGGTCATGAGCCACTCATTCACTCATTCATGTGAAGATTATACTAAAGGTCAAACGCCCTCCCAACCCAAACCCCCAACACACGCATCCAAATAAATCCACCAATAAACATGATAAAAAGATGAGAAAACTCACAGATATCGCCAACCATGCCCTGTTCCCAACCCCCCTCCCCCTCGCCTCCTTCGCAATGCCGCGAAATAGCTCCCCGACAACCGCCGCTCCCTTGACGACCTTGCAGGGCCCGGGCCTCGCAAACGGCGCGTTGATCAACGCTTTCAATCCCGGCGACAGCTTCGACATGTTGCGTCTCCTGCGCCTCTTGTCGCCCGCCGCAGTCAAAGTCGACGATGTGGTTGCTGGTGATGGTGATGATGCTGAGGTTTTCGCCGCGTCTGGTTTCTGCTGCTCTTGGTGCAACGGCAGCTTAGCCTCTCCCTTCATCACTCAACGTCCCGTCTTGTTTCTTATATAAACCCTCCCAATTATAAAAAACAAGGAAATCCCGGAAATCGCCTTTCAATTTCCTCCCCGATCAAAGGAAACATGACATAGTTTCGCCGGAGTAAAATGGAGGTTCCAATTGCCTCCCCAAAAAATACCCACTCGCCGATCCGACTGCCGTTCCGCCGGGCCTCGGCTATTGGCTACAAAGAACTGGACATTGGCAAAGTTTCAGTTTCCCAACCGCAAGACAAGATCAGCGTTATGCAAGCTCCGTAACCCTGCAAACATAATAAATAGTAGTGCACTATGTTAGTTTCATGATGCATCTAGCACAACCTAGCTTCAACGTCGATAACAAAAAACAAGACAATGAGAAGCCACAACGCGTCACCAACACCATAACTTAGTGTATTAATACCCAACAATCCCGGCATCACAGTTCCGAGACTCATTAAGTAGATCAAAAGATAAGAAAAAATAAGCTGTCACGGCACTTAAGCGGAGCACACATCTGAGTACCGATCCGGCGCCCCACGAAAACTTGCTGCATCCCCCATCTCAAGAAAGGTTGAACGGCTCGGGCATGTCCCGGGAACCACGTGCAGTTTACGTCGGATTGCTTGTGGAATCGTATGATTTTTTTTTTCTGTCTCATCTATCCATAACCGTACCTATCAGATTAGTTTGTCTGAAATTCTCCGTAAACTTCGGATCGCGCATCTTACATATATATTGCCCGCTGCCGTGAAATCGGCTGACGCGCTGCGACTATGTATTTGGTTTAATTCATAACCATTATTTATTTTTCCTAAGCCTCACAAAAGAGAGATGCTGCCAAATCCGCCCATCAACGCCTTTTTTTTCAATCATGATTTCTAACTACTAAATTTCACTTTCTACAGATCAATTGAAAAATAAAAAAAAAAACAAAGAAAACCTACCCATTTCGCTAAATTTCCAGACCAAAAAAAAACCAAACCAAAATCCATCCCGTGCCCCCCAGCCAGCCCCTCGCCAATTGCTCCCCCAAGTTTCGCTAATTCGTGTTGAAAGCCGGCCAGTTGAGCCAGTCAAAGTTGTTCATGTCCTCCCACGACATGTTGCTGCCAAAGGATGGCTCAAACACGTTGCCTGGCTGGTTCAGCACCTGCGCAATCTGGTCGTCCGACATGGTGGAAAACTGAACCATGTCCGGCCACAGCATCTGTTGGTCCATGAAGCTGCTCGGCAGGGCCGGGGGCGTATCCTGCATGGGCTCCGATGACGACGGTGTTGTCCTCTGTGCCTTTGGCGGCCGGTTGCTCTTGGTCGGGCCCGATATCCGCAGCAAATGCCGAAGATGCTTTCCATACAGTACAGAGAGGCCATTCCTATGCGGAGTAACTGTTCCAATCCGGTCCAACACAGCAATGGCCTCTTCAATTAACCTTCTGATACTCGGTGCAAGCCCAGAGCCATCTGGGGCATACGCGCTGATATTTAAAGCAAAGCACGCGGCAAAGGAAATCATAATGGCTGTGTTGTTCGGCATCGACTGCAGCTGCGACTCTCCCTGGATCGCAGCCCTCATCACATTCAGAGCAGCTGACAACCCGGCCGTTCGGAAGAAGATGCGAACCTCGACGGGAGCCGTTGGGTGGTTGATGATGCGTCCGTACGTTGAGAGGCGAGTGTGGGCGACGAGAATATCGACATATGGAGGCAGGCGACGCTCTACGACTCAAAGGTAAGTAGGTGGGCATTTCTTTGATTTCTTCCAACTCCCAGCCAACTTACCAGGACCTAAACCAATCATCAAACCCCATTCTGCAAGCCACTGGTCGAAAAATCTTTCGATAGCGCTTTGTATCCTTTGCAACACGTTAGAGAGACTATGCTTGTATAAAGGAAGGGGGAAAGAGACATACGATCGAGCAACCAGTGATCCATCACTATTGCTAGTCTGGGAGCCATCACAGAGAGCTCGGACTGTATTGAAAAGGCCATCCTACTAATAGTAAGCAAAATGGTATAACGAAAAGAGGGAGATTTAAAAGCATTGCATGGTCCTACCAAGTTTCGTCTCATCACGGCCATGGAGGCTACAGGGCCATCTTGCTCATCCGCGATAGGAGACCGATGCCAGGTGTCACAATCCTTGATGTTTCGTGTAATTGGGATCATAAAAGGTCTACCACGGGCCAAAGCCATTCTATGAAAAAAATAGATGTTAAACGAGCCTCGGATAAAGGCAGAAGGGGGAGGAGAAGAAATTACTCACCCTCTCTCGACTACAAACAGCGAGATGTAGCATCTCTCTCGTGCTCGCAGCAACAACTGTCCCTGCTCTGACCACGGATCGATATCCGGAAACCCATCGATTGCAAGGGCAATCCTTGGATCCAGACACTCGCCCTTTGACACCGTCGTCGAGGACTCGAGGGCGTCCATGGGCATCAGCACCTTGTGAAGCGACAAATCAAACGCAATGGTAGTCGCCATCGAAATGTACATGCAGGTTTCATCGTCCATGGTGTGATCGCCCGGGAAAATCCAAGGGATGTGGGTCATGAACGCCAAGACGATCTCGACCGATTTGTACTTGTCATTGACCACCTTTTGGGCCAGCATCTTGACATGGTTAAACAGCCTCTTGGAGAGGGGCCCTGCAGTAGGCATGAAGAGCGTAGACGCGGCCATGACCGTGGTAAAGAGGAACGCAGATCGGCTGCGCGCATAGGCGGCTGTGTGAACTCGGGGAGAGAGTCCCCACCGTGTGTGTACGAGTTTGGAATAAAAGCTGCAGAAATCATATCATGAGTTTCATAGTCTCTTTTTCTCTCTCTTTCTCTCTTTTCTTTCTTTCTTTCTGCACAAAAGAACTCTCTCTGTCTCTCACCAGGGGGGGAAGGGGGTAACAAAATGTCTTACTAGTTAAACAACGACTCAGCCTCGTCCATAGTCACCAGTCCCAGATCCACAGGGTCCAAGTCCTCGCCAATGTCGAGCTTCACCTTGGCCTGGGAGAAGAACTGCTGGACCTTTGTCGACTCGGGATCCTGCTTGGCCGAGGACGAGTCGTGCTGCTTCGGGTTCGAATGGGGCGAGTTCCGGCTACGACGGTCACTGGGATGGAAGTAGGACGCGCGCGCCAGCAGCTGCAGCGGGTTCTCGGCGTCGTCAATGGCCAGGCTCTCCTCGGTGCGCTGCACGAAGTCGGCCATGGACCGGTCGTTGTCGTCGTCGTCGTCGTCGATGCCGCTCGAGGTCGAGCCGCCCTCGCCCTCGCCGTCCTCCTCCTGGGTGTTGCTCCGCGAGCCCTGCCTGGACGAGTGCTCCGCCGCATCTGCATCTTCACTAGCGGCATCTACGTCCTCCAGCAGCTGTCTCAGGCTGGCCACGAGGTTTCGCTCCTCTGCGCCTCGCGCCTCTCCCGACTTGACGCGCTTGACGGCCTGCTGGAGCTGGTATAGGGCCTTGTCGAGGCCGACCCGCTTGCTTCACTAGGGGGTCAGTTTTCGGTGATTCATATATCTGATAGTATTTTAGAGTGGATTGGGAGAGGCTTGCTTCTTGATGCCCTTTTGCCGGCCGGGATGGAACTCGGGGCGGATGCACTCGCAGTTGAGGTGAATGCAGCGTCTACACTTTGCCTCGTAGGGCATCCAATCGCACTTGATCTTGCTGCGCCTGCACACCAGGCATGCGGCCTGCTTCGGACGCGGCGGCTGCTCCGTCATGGTTGGTCTGAAACTACAGACTACAGGCTCGTTGGCATCGCGTCGAGGCGCACTAACATACTCTAGCAAAGAACTGGAAAGGTTTGGACTGGACTGGACAGACCAGACTCAGACTCAAGACTTGCTAGGCTGGGATTCGGGGAGCGGCAGGTTTGATACTGTAGACGGGCCAGGCCAGAACCATCACAGGGTCAGTCATCCGATGAAGGCGGCAAGCAAGTTTCACAGTGCACAAATGTCTAAAATACACGTAACCTGGCTGGTGCTAACCCGCTTTGTCGTGGCCGAGCATCGTCGAGATTTGTGACGGCCAAGGATTGGAGAAAGAGAAAAAAATCGGGATAGTCTAGCCTTGCCGAATGCCGAATGCCGGTCTTCCGGCGGGCATTACGAAGTATGCCAGCCATAGTATCATTGATACCGGGCACCGTGTATGTACGAGTATGTACTGATATGTGTGTGTGTGTGTGTGTTGGTGTTGGGATAAGTATCAAGGAACATATGCATTGGATGGCGCCATGGTTACATCCTCAGCTTCCTTGCTGCCCTTTGAGCGGTCCCTTTGGAGCAGGATTGCGTCGCAACTCAGAAGTTCTTTCGGCCACGACGCGCAAGTGCCGACTCCTAGGGCCGAGGAGCGAGGCTATCTCGACATTTGGCAAGATAGTCGAGGATAGACACGGAAGGCCGATCTGTATAATTAGTCATACTGTACGACTATAAGGAGAAGCTGCTGTCTGTTGTCCTGTCTCCGTCGGGACGTTTTGAGGCTATTATCTGCACGTAATGCGCACAGAGAGCACCTCCTGGTTGCTAAATTTATCGCCGGCTCTCCTGGGCCGAGTTTTCCGTCTCCCGTGCTGCATCTTGCCAATCGTCCTGCTCAATCCAAGCATCCCCCCTTGCCGCTGAGTCGTACCGTCGTCCAGTCATGTCCCTTGGTGATGTGACTCCCACGCGCATCGTGCATCTGAGACACGACTCCGGGCTCGAGCCTCAGTGCCGAATCCAGGAACTGTTAAGCAAGTTGCAGCTTCATCTCCTTTTGCCGCGGGCTTTTACCCCCAACCGGCGGAGAGCCGGGCTAGACTCGACAGGTTGACAGGGCTCACACAACTTGTCAACGTTATCCCGCGCCGGCAGACATTGACATTGACACATTGAAAGAAGAAGCTAAGCCCTGTCTGTTTCCTGTCTGTTTCGACACTGTGCTGTGTGGCGTGGCGGTTGCTGAGCTGAGCGAAGTTGAGCCGCTCTCACGGTCAAGCGTCGAATCGAATCTCTCTTTGGGACTGACTCAAGTGGGATCTGATCTGACGATGTGACCAAACATTTGCTGCCAAAGTCAGGTGACGCCATTCTTTGGGTCGGATTCGGAAGCAGAATAGTTCGAAATGGCAGACACATACTACCTCTTTCGACTTGGGCGGATTCGTCGGGAAATTCCACAGTATGGGATGTGAGTGCGTATGTGCGCGGGCTAGTCCGAGGAATATTGGAGATCCCACGCCGTTGCAAAAATAAGCTCAGCCATTGATGACACGAGCTGCATCTGCTAGTTTTTATTAATAAAGACCAGACAGACTGTTTGTATAATTGAAGTGAGCGGTGCGTGCATGTTATTCATATATCACTTGGTACAGCAGCATGGTACGGAGTAGCACTCGTATATACGAGCACGTTTCACATAATCGCAAATGCTGCATTGTCCTTGGTCAGCCAATTCAACCCGGCATGGCCGCCCACGCGGGCCCTGGCCATGGCTCCATGACAAAGACCAACCCCAAACTGACCAGACTAACCCGCCAAATGGAGACAGAGTCAGTACGGAGAAGATGGAGAAAGCTGGAGAGACGTCGCCACATGGCGTCCAAAACCACCCGCATTACCCGTTTTGTCCTTCTGTTAAACTGCTGCCTAGCTACTACCAAGAGTCTGGATCCGTCTGTTGTTCTTTCTCTACTCGTATGGCCCACTGCCGTCTTTCCAGACGTTGTACAATGTTGAACAACTTTCTCAGTCCCTCAGCCGTGTCTCAAACAGACATCATAAGGGGGATCTTCCCATAAGCCTCGCTTCTGCTGTGCAAGTCAGCAACTCAGACGGGAAACTTGGGGTTACATGTGACACCCCACAGAACGCTAGCAGGCCTTGGCTGACCACGGCCTGCTGCTTGGTGACGAGATGTGAAGCCAATTGCGAGGCCATCACCAGGCCAAGATCGTCGCATCCGATTGCCGGTTCTGTCGTTGAATCGCCAAGTGGTTGCGCGCAAGGATCCGTATCTTGTTTGTCAAATTCTAATGCTCCTTGGATGTGGGCTCATCATCCCCACCCGCCGGGCCAACAACTCAAGCTTTTTTTTCTCGTCTGACGGCCAACGGCGCCCCCAAAGCCAAGTTTTTCTTTCTAAGCTGAACAATACCCGAGTCAAAGCTCAATTTACTTGATTTTCCGTTTTCAAGACTGGATGGGACGAGGCCCACCGAGAAAGCACCCGGGCCATGTAAGGGGTACAGTAGAGACGGAAAAGTCACTCCACTGCCAGCAGGAAGAGAGAGTGAAAAAACGCTCTCCCCCGTCATATCGAGGTTGAGACCATCTCCATCTGGGGTGCACCACACATTAGCCTGTACGCACTACATGACAGATACGCTCGTAAATACCACCTTACATACATGTACATTATCACCCGTGTATGCTTAGTTCATTGAATTACCAACCTTGAAACATTGAGTCCCTGTCGTCAACACCGCTTATACCCAGCCTGTCCATGTTCCATGTTGTTAGTCATGGCTTTTCCCAGCCGTCTGTTCCAAAGCAACACAACACAACCGCTCAACGGCTTCTTTTCCGTCTTCCAGAAACCAAAACCGCTATTGAGCCCGGCCGCCAACCCGCCACAGAAAAACAAGCTCAACGCCTTCGTGCTCCGTTGCCCTGGCCATTTTTTATTCTGCTGCCTGAAACTAGCCTCATCTGTGCTCTTGGTTCGGAGCCAAGCGTCTCCCCATTCGACGCCTCGTGTGCGCCTTGCCCCTTCCTGGCCATTCTGTGACATCGAAATCCTCCGGCTGTACATGCTAGCGTCGTCGTTGGCGGAATCGGGTGACTTGAAGCAGAGTCCCAGGGCTAACGGCAGCTTGTCCAACTGCCGCCCATGATCGCTGTGATTCCGTGATGCCTCGTGTTAGAGCCCTCGTGTGCGACTCGGTCGCTCGCACATCATCATGACTCTCTTTGCTTGTACCCGTACTAAGCCTCTCTCCCTCCACAATGATCAGGTGCAGGGGGGCCGCAACCGAAGCCACTCACTCTTCTCGCTCGCCTCCTCCACCGCCCGCAGCCAACTTTGACCCCAAGCTAATCCTCCAGATTTTCCCCCAAATCAGACCAACTATAACCTGCTGAGAGGAGGATCCATGTATTCTGGGGCCCCTCAAAATTTTGCAAAATGGGGACCCCTCTCGAATGACATGGAGATGTACCTTTGCCATGGGGAGATTGGCATTGCCAATTGCTGATCCGGGCGTGTTCCCGTACGGCATTATATATATCGAGGGCCTCGCCCATCCACCGCCGATGAAACCTTCTAACGCATGCAGGGCTCAGCTTTGTTTCTTACCAGTCTCTTATTAATGGGCAGCTGGCAGTAGCTCTGACTTTCATCTTAATCTTTGTTTCCCATCTCTTGTTTCAGTCTATATGAATCATTGACTTTGCCGGCACACCACGTGGCTATAGCACAATGGCGGCAAACGACAAGATTGCCGCGGAGACGGAGGTGCCTTATCCGGAGCACAATGAGAAGATGTAAGTCAATCTGCAACTTCACTTGGCCCTTGTGCCAGACATGCATTGTGTCATGTGTCTTGTTGTTCACTGTGGTTGGGGTTGACTAACACGTTGCTTGTTCCATAGGGGCCGCGACTACTCTCCTGGAGAGACAGGCAAGCGACTAGCCGCTCTGACCGACAACCTCGAGGGTGAAATCCGTAATCCCCTCAAGGGAATTGCTCGAGACACTCTTTTCGCCAATGTAAGAGAGTTTCAGAGGACCAAAAGCCTGCCTGACGACATCCTCCCTCTTCTTGAGAAGGGTGCCCTCGTGGCACAGAACCCTGCTGGGTTTGAGAGCCTAGACCTCGAAGAGGATGAGAAGCAAGCTTTGAGAGAGGAGGTAACACATCGATGGAAGCACCCTTGGGCTCTCTATTATACCATTGGTCTCAGCTCCATTGCTGCTGCCATCCAAGGTTGGGATCAGGTTAGTCGCCAACAAGCGCTTGAGTGATGATACTTTTCTTTTATTCACCCTCTAACTCTCTTCACAGACTGGCTCAAACGGTGCCAACTTGTCTTTTCCCACTGCTCTCGGCATTCCCGACAATGCTGGCTCATCTTGTGGCCCGGATGCCAACGCTGGCGATTGCGCAAAGAACAGCTGGATCATCGGCTTCGTCAACTCATTGCCTTATATCACAATTTGCTTATTGTACGTTGACCGTGATGGCTTGTTAACGGACAGATTGTTAATGAATTTCTAGCGCTGGATGGATTTCCGACCCCCTAAACGATTGGATCGGCCGTCGAGGTACCATTTTCCTTGGCGCCATCTTCTCTCTCCTCGCTCCCTTTGGTATGGCCGTCTCCCAGACTTGGGGACAGCTTGCGGCTTGTCGGTATGTAAAAAGATGTCAACCGATTATTCTTGGCCAGTTGCTCACATCTCCATCGCTAGTATGCTCCTCGGTATTGGTATGGGTTTGAAAGAAGTCACAGTCCCCGTCTTCTCAGCTGAGAATGCACCCCCTGCTATTCGAGGTGGTCTTGTCATGTCTTGGCAAGTGTGGACGGCATTTGGTATCTTCTTGGGAACATGTGCCAACCTGGCTGTTGGTAAAGTCGGCGATATTGCCTGGCGCCTTCAGCTTGGCTCTGCATTCATTCCCGCTGTCCCCCTGGTCATTGGTACATATTTTTGCCCCGAAAGTCCTCGATGGTATATGAAGAAGGGAAAGCACGAGAAGGCCTGGAAATCGCTCCTGAGACTTCGAAACACCCCCATCCAGGCCGCCAGAGATCTCTATTACATCCAGTGCCTTTTGGATCAAGAGGTGCTTCTCGTTGAACAGGCCGGTCTCAAGGTCACCAACAACATGTTCACCCGCTTTATCGAGCTCTTCACCATTCCTCGCATCAGGCGCGCAACCTGGGCCTCTGGTATTGTCATGATTGCCCAGCAAATGTGCGGCATCAACATCATCTCTTTCTACTCGAGCACAATCTTCAAGCAGAGCGGTATTTCCGACTACACTGCATTGTGGGCAAGTTTCGGCTTTGGCTTGATCAACTTTCTGTTTGCTTGGCCTGCCGTATGGACCATTGACACCTTTGGTCGACGAGCCCTTTTGCTCTTTACCTTTCCCAACATGTTCTGGACTCTTCTTAGTATGTACCGTGTTCCATCAAGTTGCAAGAGTTTTTCAGCTAACCATCCACACAGCTGCCGGTCTCTGCTACCTCATCCAGCCTGACATTGTCAACAGCACTCCCAGAATTGCGAGTGTCGCCACCTTTGTCTACCTCTTTGCCGCTTTCTACTCACCGGGTACGCTCTTTTCAGTCAGCTAATAACTTTCCGAGATTCATATACTTACTTTTTCGATTATAGGAGAGGGTCCCGTTCCATTCATGTACTCTGCAGAAGTTTTCCCTCTGTCCCATCGTGAGATTGGCATGTCATGGGCCGTCGCCACCAACAACTTCTGGGCCTCTGTCCTTTCTCTTACATTCCCGCGAATGTTGACCGCCATGACCGCCACCGGAGCCTTTAGCTTCTACGCCGGCCTCAACCTGGTTGCTCTGGCGCTCATCTTCCTCTTTGTCCCCGAGACGAAGCAGAAGACGCTCGAGGAGCTCGACTACGTATTCAGTGTTTCGGATCGCCGCCACGCACAGTACCAGCTCACCGAGGTGCTGCCATGGTGGATCAAGAGATATGTGCTTTTCCAGAAGAATGGCCCTTGCCCTGAACTTTACCACTATGAGAATGCGGAGCTGGCGGATAGCGGAAGTGTCTAATTGCTAGGCGTTAATCGTGGCAGGGTGTAACAGAAGGGGATGTGATAGATGGATGGTTCAAGTTATGAGATACCACTTTTTTTTGTAGTTTGAAGACTCACGTGTTATGAAAGTAATGCAATGCAGTAATGGTTATTGACAGAGATGAGAGCTATGCTTGATATTCACCATGTGTCTTGTGCTTACCACTGATTCCGGCAGAAGGCTTCAAGTTGCCGTTTCTCGACAGTTGAGAATTTTTCCCAGATCGAGTGATATTCACCGCAGGCTTCCAAGAAATACACTATAGCGTGTAGTTGTTGGGTGGTGTTCATAGGTGAGGTCCTTACTTCACGATGCTCTCAGCTGGTTTGCTAGGTCACCGGGTGGTGATGGGTTGAATAGTTGCCATAGTGCCTCTGGATGGTGATTTCTTCTGACTTAGATGGTATTTGGGTGATATCAGAAGATGATGAAACGGACAACTCCTGCCAATTGTCACGGTGGTCAACAAAAAATGAAGATGAAGGAGAGAAAAAGCGTAATCCTTGATGACTATTTTGTGGTCCCCGAAATACCAGAAATTGTTATGCCAATCGATATCTGTTTAAATACTATTGTTTCAACATACTGCGAGTTGGCTATATGTGTAATTAATTATGCAAAGCCGATGGGTCTTGGCATTGGTTAAAGCAGCATAATGAAGCCATGTTCCCGGGTGTCATATTTAGGGCTCGAGTAATATGATAGATATTACGACGGCTTTCCTATATCTAGAATAAGTAATTCATTGTCTACAAAACCTTTCATATTAATCTCTTATCAGCTAGCTATCAAGGCCATTGCGAAATCTTGGCTTTGTTGGCATTGTGTTGGTTATGTTTGGTGAATATCGAGCCTGTCGGAGAAGTGAAGTTGACGGGAGCTTAGATGAAGAGGTATTTGCTTCACCTGCCCCTGCCAGTGGTGCTGTTATTAACTATAGTATAGAAAATTCGACTGGAAAGAGTTTTAACTGAGTTTCTGTGGGTTGGCCTATTTCGGATTGATGTTTATTTGCCACTCTCGCCAAATGAGACCGCGTGCGATTGACACCACACATGACTGCCTCGAGGACTACGAGAATTTAATAACTAGTAAACTGAACGATTTACCTATCTAAAGGAAGAAAATATCAACTCTGAATGGGCGTACGTGGATAATTGAGGGTCACAAATGATTCAACCCTGATATAGGGTATGCTAGCCATGCAGACGCGCCACCCGCAAAAGACGAATCAAATGGTCTTATTGAACGGAATAGTTGAATAGTAGCATTTTCAATCAGAGAAGAATACTGAGGAGAAAAATGATAAGCTGACTGTCTAATGGAGGTGTTGGTGGCATATAGACGAATTGTGTAGAAGTAATGACTCTGCTCAAACATAGAGGAAAAGCGGTTCGTATCTCAGTAAGCAAACATTTACTTTAATCAAATCGCCAGCATATCATCCATAATTTTTTTTTCTTGTAACAGGCCTGTAGCTTACGAGTATTGTTTCCAAGAATTTATCACTTAGGTATATCCTAGGCCGACTTCCCTCTTGAATACCCCCAGTAATGAACACCTTCAACCTCAAAGCTCAACAAAACCACATACAAGCAACCTTGATCAGCCAAAACAAAATCAACACAAATCTCCCATTCCATCAAACAACCAATTGCCTCAAACCTCGTCAATTCTCCTCCTCCAAAACACCTTTCACATAAACCCACCAAACAAAAACTCTTACATAAAGAACCAACTTACGCGAGACAGATGAACCAACTCCAACTCAAAACCCTCCCAACCAAAGATAAAGACCAAAAAACACACTACCCAAAAAGTCAATCAAGAAAAAGAACCCACACCAAGACAACGTGGGAAGCTAAAGCACCTCCCGTCAAACACACCCCGGTAAGACGTCAAAACTCTAAACTTGCGGCCGGGAACGCAAGGTCCCTGCATAAGCGGACGATATCTCTCTACTGTCCTTCTTTGGGTATGAGATGTGCAGGAAACTAAAAGGGTGTTTTATGATATACTACGACGATTAATATGCAGTACTAGCTTCAATCAACATTCTTCATCGTTGGGGTTGGAGTTTTGCTGTGCTTTCTCTTGGTCAGCGAGTTTGTTCCCTCTCAGGAATGTAAACCACGGCTCAGCTCATCAAAGACCCCAGATGGATAATGTATTACTACTGTTTTACGATTCAGCCAGCGTTTACTCAGCCCGGCTCACATCAACAACACACGCCCCCGGATTCCGGATTCATCAAAAAGCCACCGTGAAACCTTCTAAGCAAAAAGCTATCAATCACGGGCACGCAAAGGAAAACAAACGAGTGACAAAAACCCCACATCTATCTGCACGCTTCACAGCCCGCCAAGTTCGCTCGCTCCGGGACCCTGCAGCCAAGAAGACAGTCCATATCCCGAATGAGTCACCTCTTATCAAAAACATTGAAAACGTGGTCAATCCAACAAAAAACCCAATACCTCGGGTACGATAGACCCTGGCGCCTGGGACGAATGGCTCAAAGATCCTCCCCCAAAGGGCCCGGGTTCGCGAAGCTAGCTGAAACTCTGCGTATCTTACCGCCTGCAAGCGAAGTGCGTACCCGGGCTGAGGGAGGGCTCCAAAAGAGAAAAGCCGTTCTTAGTGGCCGCCTTATGAAAGCTGACGGGTTTCCCATGTCTCTACTGCTTACACTGCCACGATATGATGCCGCCACTTTGGGTCTCTTTATTCCTTTCTGCCGTTCCGGCTTGACTTGCAGGGCCAAACAGCCTGGCTACTTGCACTCAACAAAAAAACCGTGAAAAAAATCACATATCACGAAAAACAAACCAAAAAAGAACAGTCGTAGGATCAATTCGCATATAGCCGGGCAAGGCACAGAACAGGTCAGCTGCTTGGCGGGGACTCTCGGGCCGTTCGAAGCGTTGCACAGCAGCTCCCGGGCGAGCCGTAGGGCGTGTTGCGCATCTTCATGCAACCACCAAAGAAAGAGTTGCGAGCTTTGTTTTCTTCCCGCACGTCGATCGTCTGATGACGCTCCGTGTGAACCGACCCGAAAGGCGCTTCGGAGGAAAAACCTACACCGAAAATGTGCCGCTTCAAAAAGTTAGGGCGTATCCAAACACCCGTCAAGTTCTTGAGGAATGGTGTTTTTTTGTGTGTAGATGTATGCTTCAAACGGGAAGCGGATTCCCACTTGCTGCTGAGCCTCCGCTGGTTGTGCGGCTGGTTGCGCGGCTGGCCAAGCCCTAGTTGGAATTCAATTGCTTAGCTGTAGAGGTTAATGTCAAATCAACTTCAAATCAAATACTGTAAACCAACCGCCATCATTATTATTAGTACGATAGTCAGCTCCACGATACCCTCGCCCAAGTAAGCCCATATCGCATATCTGAATAAACGGGCGTGGGAGTGTGTGCCGTGCCGTCGGACCAAGACGCCCGTCCCAGCAGAGCGTGGTTCCCGACCTTTTTTTCTTTCTTTTTACTCTGACCAACGGAAATAAGCATTTGGGGCTAGAAGGTTGGCGAAAGTTTCTTTCCGGCCTTCTAGGGTTAGGAAGCACCGGCACAAGCCAATGGCGGCGGCTTTTGGACTATTGGCACGTAACGAATTCGAGAGCTACGACGTTTCGGATCCTCAACAGAGCGCGGGAAAGCGGTATCACATCGCCTGACAACTCCAGCCCGTCTGGCCTAGAACTGCCACGACCGTTGAGACTACGGGCTGGAGAGACCGGGGGGGGAGGGTGGTTCAACGGTCGTCGCGAGTCGGCAGTGCATCGAGTCTCGAATCGTCGAGTCTTCCTCGTGATGGCTTTGATTGCAGTCCCTTGATGCAGGCTTGATAGCGCGGGATGGCTCTCAATAGTCGACGGCCAAGGGAGTAAGCGTGTTTAGGGGTGGCTTTTTTTGGGTGCTGCCCTGTCGGTCTCGACCCTACGCGCAGAAACGACGTGCGTGGGCTGCAGCCGGTCGCAGCAGCATCAGCACGGACATCGATTGGCGGCGGCCGGGCTGAAAGGCAATTCAAAATTGGTGGCCTGTGAAATACGACGGGCTGGCTGTATGCGAAAGTGGAATATTGCATCCGCGTTTCATGGCAAATGATTGCGAGGGGCGGTATGGTGCAAGTGAGAGAAAGGCCTGGGCAAGTCTAGACCTGGAGCCTCGTCTCCGCGGCTTGGCCGGGCCCTCCAGTGACTATTAGCAGCCAGCCAACAAGAGCAGAGAGTCGGGGCCTAGCCCTCAAATCGCCGGCCGATGGTACGAAGTAACATTGATCGTGGGGATGGCATGCACAGGCACAAGCGGTGGCGATGGCTTGGTAGCTGACAGCGGCCGACAGAAACTCTGGTGGTTTGGTTTGGTTTGCTACCCACGCGAGCTTCGATATCGGAGGCCAGCCGAAGCCGACCGGAAAGACGGCTTCGACTGTGGGTTTGAGGTTTGACAGACCCCCCCATCGGAGTCAGCAACATTGTGCTCTGGAGGGGAATTGTTCCGGCAATATGCAGCTAAAGGTGCACAATGGGATGACGACTCGCCGTGTTTTTTCAATCTGATCACAAGGTCAAGCATCGAGTCGCATCGACGGTCCAACATGTCTGCATCTGCAGGGCCATTGGATTGAAAGGTTCTGGCCCAAAGAGATTGCAGGGCCCAAAGGTTGCATTTTGCACGCACAATTTAGCACCCACGATGTCCGTCGATGTCCGTCGATGTGCCGCCTACCAGCCAGATTCCAACGTACTGTACGGCGCTTGCGATCGGTGCGATTGAAAGTGGCGAGGCGTGAAAGCTAGAGAGGGGCGGCTTGTTTTGCGTGGGCAAGCATTGCGACCTGGTGATAGGCTGAAAGCCTATTTGCACATCGAGAGTATGGTAGGTGATCGGTAGGTGATCGAGAAAGGCAGCTGGCTCTGATCGACAGCTGCTGAATCCTCCACCTCGACATCTAGACGGGACGACTAATGGCGA